AGAAGTAGTCAGAGTCGAAGAAGTTGGTGGACGGTGAACAATAGTCCAACGGATGGAAGAGAGGCAATGGTCGACGATGATGGATAGTTGAAAGAGAATTTTGTGCACGTAGTCTTCCACGGATTTGTCGAACTCTAAATTGAAATCAAAGAGAATTGATCATGGGATGTCGACGAAGCTTTCTTGTTCATAAGCGAAGCCAGAATCAAGCTCTAGATCCAACATCCGTGGACAAAGAGCATTCCTCCTTCTTGGGACCCTTGAAGGCCGACGGCTTATGGAGGAGGGAGAGGGGAAGCCGGCGGTTTGGAGGGGCTCGGGTAAGGGAAAAGAGGCTATGGTTGTGGGTTGAAGCTCCTTTGACTTAGGTTAGGAAATTGGAGGGGAATAGTTTTAGATAAAAAATAAATATGAAATTAAATTTCATATTTTCTAGAGGAGGGAAAGGATTAATTTAAAATTCAAAATTAATCCCAAATTGGGTTAGGAGGTGCGGCGGTTAGGGGGCTAATGGTGTAATACTCTCAAAAATATTTAAAATAATGTAAGCTTCAACTTCCTCTAAATATTAGCTTATTTTTATATACATTCCACTTTAATTTCAAGCATTTTTGACATATAGAAGTATATGTAAATTATCAAACTAATTGTTTAATTAATTGTATTTAATTACAATTTATGGTTTAAATGATAGCTAGATTTAAAGGCTAAGTATTAGTAAATTATTTAATAGTATGTACTTCAATTACTGTAGCAATTCCACTCAATCACTGTAGCAATTCCACTTTAACCGACATGCATAAAGCTGATGGAAATCCTAGGGCTGAGAATGACTGAGAAGGTTTAGTTGAATTAGAAGGGTTATTATCATTTTAATAGTGTAATTTATTCTGTGGAGACATTAGCTTCTTTTCCCCACCCGTCCCTCCTTGGACGTCGGAAGCCAGCTTCAAGCTGAGTAGCGGGAGCCACTTGTTGAGGCTGCTGCTGTGAGATGCTTTGAAGGAGGATTTCAGATAATAAATTTCTTAAAGCTAGTTGTTGGAATTCAGTAAAATGCTGAAGCTAGTTGTGCGGAAGAGTGGTGGAACCTGATGCAGGCTAAGTTGATGTAACTGGTTACTCTTTGGGTTGGAAAAAAAACGGTAAGGAGGGAAAGTGAAGAAAGGAGACTTAGGGGAAGAGAGGTCATATTGGGGTGAATGAAGAGAAACTTCTTTGAGATAAACTTATAAGATTTTCATATAAATTATTGTATGTTATTTGAATGCAGATTTGAATGATCAACAATTATGATTTAGATTGTATATAAAAGGAAAGGAGGCAAGGGTATTTTAGGAGAACGAATTGACCTGACTTCCCTAGAGAACGAGGTAAGATACCCAAACAAGATTATAAGAATTAGTAAATGTTTTATTATTGCACTTCTTCTTGATTATGTTTATGATCATATGTATTCTAGTTTATTTTGGTTATTTTGTATGAATATAATTGTATATGTATGAAATTGTTTATGTAAAGGATAATCTTTAGCAATGTTAATGATTTCGTAAGTATAAAAGGGTAAATATTCATAAACTAGTGAATGAGCAAAAAGCGCAGCCAAAGCGCAACTAAAGTGCAATCAAAGCGCAACTAAAGCCCAATTAAAGCTCAACTAAAGCGCAACTAAAGTGCAACTAAAGGGCAGCTAAATGACAGCTAAAGTGCAACTATGTCATCAAAAGCATATGTTCTTATTTGTTTATTATTATTTCTTATATATTGCTGGTGTATTTCATTGGGCAATAGCTCATTAGCAGTGGTTGTACTGCAGGTAAGGGAAAGGAGCCCGTAGGACACTAGGCGAGAAAGAGGTGACCGTCTGTTTTTGATTTAAATATGTTTTGGAGTACAAAAAGATCTTAGAGGAGATCTGAATAATAGCTGTATAAACCTTTTGATAAGTAAGTAAAGTTCAAAAATTTTAGTAGAGCTCTGTAATTGTTTTAATTATGTTGATGTTCAGTAAGTAAGATAACATACTTCCTGTTATTAAGTGTGGAGTTTGATATGTTGAAATCTTTCTCTGTTATACTCCAGTTTGTAGTAGAGGGTGTGCCAAACTGGGGTGTGACAAATGAGGATATTTAATTAGGGTTTAAGGAGCAAATTGGAGAGAGAAAAGGAGATAGAGAGGGCCGGCCATATGGGGAGGGGAAGTATGAGTCTAGGTTCAATGTATGTGGGCCCAAAAGAGTTAATTATTGATTGGAATCAAATTCGATTTTTAATTTTAGATTTGATTTATTTAGGGAGGTTTCCAAATTGGGTTTTAACAATAAGAAAGTATTTGAGATTCAAATATTTAATTGAATTCAAATAAGGATACTTTCATAAATAACAATGGGTTATTTTAGGAAGGTCATTAAAAGTAATTTGAATTTTGAAATTCAAACTTTGTGGGCTAGGTAGGCCGGTGGCTAGGGGTGATCTAGGGAGGGGAAGCGGCGGTTGGTGGGTGGAGGCCGATGGCTGGACTGTTGGGGTGGGAGTTCCGGCGGCTTGGAGTGGAGGCAAGGGGCCAGTGGGCTTGAGGATGGGAAGGAATGGCTAGGGGTTGGGGGATTGGCTGGTGGATGGGCTGCCGGAGGGGAAAAGGGTAGGCCGGTGGTTGTGGAGGAGGGAGGTGGGGGAAGGAAGAAAGGATATCTCTCCTCTCCCAACAAGAGCAAAGAAAAGCTGAATTTTTCTATTAATTCATCATTAATCTCATACAATGCAAAATACCTCTATATATAGGTCTAAATAGTAAAAGAAAAAAGAGAGACTCAAATGCCATCGGGGCTACAACAAGAACTCACTATCTATAGGGGTAAAATAGGAAAAACTAAAATACAAAAATAATAAGCAATACATGAATACATCAAAAGTAAAGGCTCCGAATCGTAGTCGTCGATCTACGATTCCTCCAATGATACGCATGTCGAAATCTTTGACTGATGTCCTCATCAATGTGCCTTTTGGTGCGCTTGCTTGACTTGCAAAGCACTATAATTGAATTGTTTTTTTATCTTAAAGTGCATGTGCAAGACTTTAAATTGTTCGAGGCTAGGCCATTCACATCGTTTACTGGCTAATGCATTGTTGTTGAAATGTATACATGGATTTTTATTTGGAGATTCGGTGATTGCATCATGTCTGCTTACATTTATTTTGTGGATTCATTTGAAAATTTGCAGTTTAAATTTTATTGCACGCTTAAAGCAGCATAATTTTGCTTGCATTAAATCTGCATTTGTCCACATGAACCCCACAAGAGTTAGCTTTTTGCCTATAAATAAAGGTATTGTCGCAGTTATTTTCATAGTCAGTTTTAGTCAACCCTATGACCTAAGAGTTCTAAGTGTAGCAGGGAAGTTCTATTATTGCAGGTTGGCAGCAGTCGAGTCATTTGTAAGATTAGTTCCAATGTTCAATTCTGTTTTAATTTGTGTTCTTTCTTCTCAACATGTGGTAAGATTCAAGCATTCATTTTGTTTTTAGTTGAGTATTATTGTCACTTTTTCATTTTAATTTTATCGCATCTATGTTCATAAAAGAACATTGACTTTGTTCTTTTCAAGTTGAGATAGAAAAATTTCGGTAGGGCTACCATATGACCCCTGTGTTGGGGCATTCGGTAATGTGCTAGGTCTCCAACACCAAGAAAGACATATATAGATGGTGTATACTGTCGAATCTTCTACCCCATCACGCCAAAAATGGCATGTGTGAGTCACCTGCACAAGAAAATGCACAACATATGATTTTCCTGCTGCATCAAGCAAGATGTATGCGAGTGCATGTGGTAATGTTACCTTTTTTTTAAAAAATCTTCATTCTCTTATTTTTCTTCTCACCTCCCAGTTTGCTTTTTCCATTTTCTCTCTTTGTTTACATCTGCTTTTAGAGGAGAAGTTGAGCTTGCTAATGGTAAGTGGGGTTGTCCACAGGTTTTGAGAGATGGATATTGTGCTATGGGTTAAAAGAAGAGCTGAGCTGACTGTGAGGGAGTGAAGACAAGTTGAGGTGGGGTACATGGAGCTTGAAAAGTTGTTGCCGGCAGGGGGTGGAGCTTGGTTGGCTTTGAGAATGGAGCAGTTTTGAGGTGACAAGTTGCTGTGGCTGGTGAGTTGGAGTGCTGGAGGTGAAGAGGAAATAAGTCAGGTATGCATGAGAGCGAGTTGCTGCCATGAGTTTGTCCGGTGTTAGTTGAATTGCCGAAAGTGCTATTCGATGAGGTGGGCAAGGCAGAGTTGAGTATTGCATATTGAGGGAAAATATAGGAAGTGTGTTAGAGTTTGTGAATGATAGTTTTTTAGTGGGTTCGGATACGTGAGGTGGTAGAAGATTCAAGAGAATGTCACACAACTAGAGTTCCATTATATATATATGATTTAAAAAAAAGTACTGATGGTTGCATTAAAAGTTGTGCTCCATAGGGGTTAAAGTGAGGAATAAGAAGGTTGTAGAGGATGAAGTTAGCTATCCAACAATGTCAAAATTGTATGATGCTATGATTCTGATGGTAAATGAGAAAGCTATACTTAATAATGAGACAAGGTCAGATTTTCTAAATTTGAATTTTTTTCTCTCATTTCATGCACAAAATGTAACTTGGTGGGTTGGAATTGATCAAAATGGAAAATGCTGAAGTTATCGATGATCTTGTTAGCTTTCGCGATTCCGAAGTCATATGATTCTGAGTAGAAATGAATGAGCTCTGCCTAAAACAGTGTGAAGATGCTGTAGTTTCTGGATTCTGATTTCATTTTTTTCTCGATATGTGTAAAAACAGCAACTTTACATGTCGAAATGGAGATAAATGCTTTTATATCTTTCATGTTGATTACTATGCTGTCTGATATCTTGATTATTGTGCTTGTATTTGTGCAGTTTTGTTACAAATTTAGAAATTATGAAGTATGACCACTGTATTAAAGTCAATGGGGAAAACTGATCTGTCTATTTTTTTGCAGGTAAGGATCTGAGGATCATTGTCTTTGGTTTTCGACCCAGAACGAAGCAGGTTGCTCTTCTAAGCCGTTGCTTATATTGCATTTGTTTGAGATCCTGTAGGACTGCTACTGCCTTTTCGTTTAGTTAGTAATTTGCATTGAGGACTTCTGTTTAGTTCCCTGTCATCTTTAAGTGAATGGTATTACTGATAATTAATGGAACTAAAACCTGGTGCAATGTAAATTTTCTGGTTACAGGCTTCTTGTAAGTTTCCTGTTATCATTTAGTGAATGGTTATCATTTATACTTTATATTAAAAAAAACCTATTCAAGCATAACTAGCGGGTAGCAACAAAGCACTAGCCCAACATATGTGGAATTAAATCATTTAGTTGCATGCCTGGTCTCTTGTTAGATATCAGCCCCTTTAGTTTCATGATTTCTGTGAAGTTTAATTTGATACGAGGGGAATCCTTTTAAAAATCTAGAATACTTGCTGTCCAATGAGGAGATCATATTAACAAGGCAACATTGGCATATGCACTAAGCAACCAAGCAACCATATTCAACGGCCAACGCTCCATAATTCTTGTCCCATTCGTTCATTAAAAGAGTGACCAAGATTATATCATCCATCTCCTTTAGAGATATTTGTTTTTGTTCAAATTGCTATGGTACACAGTTAAAGCAAGAAAAGTTCTTGAATGTTGAAACTCAATTCTGCTCTCTTTAAAGTCTCTATAAGTACGACGGGATTCTGTTTTTTTTATTGTCTAAGAGCTCACTAGTGATTCTTTACAGCGACGAGCTGTTTTTGAAGCTTTGTCAAGATACACCAGGCCAGCACGATTATGGGATATGTACGCTTTAACTTGTGGTCCTTCCAAATTCAGCAACATAAATCCAAAGTTGCGGTTAATTAAAGAATACCTTCGGCTTCTAGGCAAAGATTCTTTGTCTATATCAAGCAAGAAAATTGATGAAGGGTCAATCATTGTCTCGAACGACTGGTGGAGAATTTCAACAATAAATTCTGGATATTCACTGTGTTCAACTTATCCTTCTTCCCTGATTGTCCCAAGAAGTATCAGGTACATACATATTATTTTTCCCTCAATCTGCTATCCATTAAAACATTCTTGTTGGCTTCACAAATTTTAGTCCATTGAATCTTGTTTTGTTGCCATTCTTTAACTTATGACAAAGCTCTTGATTGTTTCATTGCTGAAGCATTAATACTATTTTCTTAGGGTTTTATCTGTGTAAAATTAATCACCCTTACGTTTCCAGTGATGAAGAATTACAGCAGGCTGCTTCATTCCGTGGGAGGGGACGTTTACCTGTAATTTCATGGTGTCATGCTGGTTTGTACCAGTAATACTTTAAAGATAACATTTTTATCTCGAGTTCTTAGAACATTCCCTGAACATCATGGAAATTCAGATATTAAATCGGTTCAGTATTCTTGCGTCAGCTATTTAGACTCATTTGATGTGGTTGAAATGCCAGGAACTGGCGCGGTGCTTGCACGGTCATCCCAGCCGTTGGTTGGTCTTATGATGAATATGAGAAGGTAGTTTTTTTTCTTCCCTTGTGATTTTCAATTCATTTTTACTTCTGTTAGTTGAAAGTGTAAGACTGGATTCTTATTTTTTAGCAACATGGATGAGAAACTTGTTGCTGCACTTTGCACTCAAACTGTCGATGGAAAGGGAGCACGAAGGTAATATGAACTTTTTAATCCATCTATATCCCTTACTTTTACATGTAGTCAAATTCTTTGTTTGTGACTAGCCTTGTCTTTTTAAGAGTAATATATTTCTTGTGGGACACCCTCTTCATCCATTCTTCAGAATACATATTTTACTGCGAATTTCCATCCTAAAATCTGCGTTATTGCATTTATTGCTTTAGCATTTACTCTGTGCTCATTCTCTGTTTCACTTGGTTGACAACATACTTTCTTTGACTTATTACAAATTTCAACTAATAGAAACTGTGGACTTATGTGCTATTAGGAAGCTTTATATTGCTGATGCAAGGCCTAGAAAAAATGCTTTGGCGAATGGTGCAATGGGAGGTGGGTCAGAGTCATCTTCTAATTATTTTCAATCTGAGGTCTGTTCATGATTTGGGTTTATTATGATGCATCCCTTTTATCCTTTAATAAAGTTGATTTTCAAATTTTATAATTTCTGAAATAATTTGGTTAGGTTGTCTTTTTTGGGATTGATAACATACATGCTATGAGAGAGAGTCTTGCTCGGCTAAGAGACTATTTGGACACTCATGGATCAACTTCATCTGATGGAATGTCATCTTTTCTGGTTTGTTTTCCTGACCTGGTGTAGCCATTACTAGATTATGCGATTGAATATCTTTTTTGTTAACTTTGCTCGTTGTATGAATTTCTATCACCTGTATTGTTTTTTAAATCAAAATCTTGTATTGACTTGAAGAGGTTGGTTTAAATCTGTTGATATTATTCATGAGCGAGTTGCATATAATTCATATGTTAATAGGGACCTGAGTCCATTTTAGATTATTATGTGATATAAACGTTGAAAACCTAGATCTTATAGATCTACCTATAAAATCTTGGCCATGTGCATTTGCACAGCATATGCATAATCTGCATGGGGATAGTCATAGCAAAGTGGCTATCAATTATGAGAATTACAAGCTTTTTACTGATGTGAACAAGGGAGATGTGGAATTTAAACCTAGTGATAAAGTCATGGAACGTTAAATTTAGAAAGCCTTCAATCTAAAACCTTTAAGAAGTTGACTGTAAGGTAGCTGTGACCATTTAAAATTGTGCAACATGATGTATTTGATTTCATTTAATTTCAAAAATCTACATCCAATTCTTTATATTACACAATCTTTCCACCTCTTTTTCGTGAGTCCACATCTAATCTTTTGCCTGATACTTTTATGTAGCTTGTTCTTGAATTTATCCTAGACGATGAGATCATATTCATTATTGATGGTTGATTTTAAAGGCACCTTATTTATTGAAAAGATTGATTTAAATTTATTGATTAATCGATTTTTTATGTCTAGATTTACTTGATAAGTTCGTTAGAGCCATATTTGATGGAAATCTGTTTTTATTCTTGTCGGAAGTATCAGACAAGCATTAATTTTTTTTAGTAGTTATTTATATTTTTCTTAGGAGTTGATTTCTTTTCATTAGTCCATTTTATTTGTTTTTTTTTTTGGAGAGCATGCTAATGATGATGGATGAGATTGGTTGAGAAAGTGATTCTTAGCTTTATGTTAGTTTATTCAGTTTACATGATTTCAATTTTGTCAGATTTGGGTTATTTTACTCAAAATGATGAGTTTATGGTGGATTGTTATTGGTTTGGTATCAAAAATTCAATTTGTTGGATTTAAATTTTTTTTTTTTAAGTTGATTGATGTAGTGGCTGGGTAGGTGATGATGTGTGGCATAATATGTTGATTTCCACGGTATGGCGTTGTTTTTGGAATTATTTAAGTAAAACAAACTAAATGTACACGTGAGTTTGAATCCCTTTGTGGAAGTATTGGTTTGTTATAAATAAAGGATTGGCTTCTTTTTTTTTTTTTTTCCTTTTTGTGAGATTTGCATGACTTATGAAGTGTGGGATATGCGTTTGGCGTGAAGGTACTTGAATGGATTGACTTTGCAGTTTAAATGCTTTTGGATGGATTTTTGCGTTACTTGTGGATACAGTTTGAAGTTGGGTTATTTTGAAAAAAAATAAATTAAAATTTTGATTAATCTTAACTTAGATTTAGATTGATCTTGTGTCAACCTTATTTATTAGCCTAAGCCATGCAGAGTCTACTAATAGTGGCGTGAGGCATGGAATTGAAAACTTTTGGTTCGAATAATGGTTCTCCTCCAATTTTTAATCTTATTAGGAAAAATTAGATGTGTGATTCTTTTCTATTGCTGTTCAATTGTGATTGCCTGATTTTGGGGAAGTCATCTCCTTGTATTAGGCGAGGCTTATTTTTTCAATACTTTGATAAATTCCTTCATTGTCTATTTATTCTAAATATTTTTGTATATGCTAGTCTAGTACTATTACATTTGGTAAAAAAATGATACATCATTGATCCGATTTTGTAGAAATTAATTTATTAGTTGACTGATTTTATTTATGTCCAAATTCTTACTGAAATTCTTAAATTTTTGCGATCATTTTCGTTGTAAATTTGAACTAATATTATTATTTTTTCATTAAAAGAAAGTGAGTTGTTTACTTGATAATGTGTGTCAATTTTTTTTTTCATGAAAGCATGACATGCATCATATTAGTTGCTTCAGGAAACTATAATCAGTGTTGTTTTGCATTACCTTGTGTACATCAAACCTTGATTGAATAGTGTTGATAAAGACTTTTATTTTCTCTAGACTGCATTCACTATTGAAGTTCTAGTTATATAATGAGGAATTCAATATCTAAATTAAATGTATAACCATATAGTGTCCTTGACTAAAATAAACAATAAACCCTAAAAAATTTACCCATTTTCTTATGATTTTAGGTGAATTAAGACTTTTGTATCTAAATTAAATGTATGAGCATATAGTATCTTAAACTAAAAAATTTCATTCTTATGTCCAAGGATTTAATAATGTCGGGTTCATTATTTTCAATCATCGAGGATTGCTTTCAATGAGATTTTATTATCAGTAATTATGGGTTCTCTTATTCAAGAAGCTTTTATGATGAGCCAATTCTAAGTGGATTTGGTTTGATTTTAGTTTAGGTTTGATCTAGAACCTTAGGTTTTTCTTTATTCTTTGGAGAAAACCTTGAAGTGTTCAAGAATAAAGTTGTGACTACCTTAACTTAAAAAGTTGACATTTTTATAAGCATATGGTTTTGTGGGTGTTGGCATTTTTAAAGGATTGATTAAGACCTTATCCCATTTTGCACTTTGCCACAACACAATTATTAAGCAAGCGTTACTGTACTGGGAGTGGATTTGTTATTAGTAAACCTTTTTTATTTGGTTGAGTGGAGAGGCTGAACAAAATGCATTCATTCATATTCTTTGTTTTAAAGGAAGTTCATTATTCTTTAATATTGAATCAAATTCCAGGTTTGTTTGTGAACATGATGTTGACGTTATTGTCGTACCGACCCGATCTATCACGCTCAATCAAGCCAATTGGCCGTCGTCGAGCATAAATTAAACTAACTTGAATTGTACCCTAATTAAATCAAATTAAGCTCAATTTCCAATTAAACTCAAATTGGTCCAAATCGAACTTAATCGAGCCTCGTTGAATCAAGTTCGATGCAATTCGACACTGATTCGAGTCCAATTTTGCATTGGCTTGATTGGATCCAACCAGACCTGAATCGACCCAAATCGATTCAAATCGAGTTTGATTTTGGCTCACTTTCAACCAAATCAGTCCAAGCTGGGCTCATTTGACCTTTCCAAATCAAGCAATTGATCAATGACTGTGATTTATCCCAATTTTCAAACCTTGCCGCCAATACCCCGTCAAATCTTTTGATTTCTGCGTCTGTAGCAGGGCTTGAGCATGGGGAAATGATTTTGCGTGGCAAAACCTTATTTCCTGGATAGAGAGAGAGAGGGCGAGGAAGATAGGGGGATGGGCATGTCTTCTACTTGCGTGTGTCCTAGTTGAACAGGAGAGCTGAGAGTTCAAGAGAGGGAAGGAGAGTCAATGCCTGCTTGATGTGTCTGATCCAGGGGAGATGGAGGAGCGGTCGGTTCCTCTGGCTCGTATGCGTCCTACCTAGCCGAGGCTCTGGCTTCGTGTGGTCTGTCCAGGCATGAAAAGGAGGCCGATGCCAGCTTCTTGCTTGCAATTCCTGGAGTCGAAGCCGAGTAAAGAGCAGATTGTGCCTTCCCTACCTGCTGTTTTCTCCTTCCTTGGACCAAAAGGAGGATTTCTTCTGGTTTTATTGCTAAGCAAAAAGTTCCTCTCGCTGTTGTTGCTGTTTCCTCTTCCAAAATTTAGAGCAAAGGGGTGTTGTAGTTAGTCCCTATTACAGCTAAAGGAAAGTAAAAAGCTTTTATTTTCTTCCAAATTAGCTCCGACAAGTTTGTGACAACGGAGGCGACTTCAGGGAGCATTTAGAAAGCAAAGGCAACGTTCAGAGTGGTTTGGATAGCAACTTTCCTCCTCAATCTCGCTTTTGACAAGGTGAGTGGATTGTGGTTTGCGCCGTGACTACTCGGCATGGTAAAACTCCTCAAACTTAGGAAAAATCTCAGGGTCTCTAAGCCGTGGCTTTGTTTGACATTCCAAAGCCATAGGTTCATAGAAACCCATGCATTTTAAATCCCAAAATCCTTTCTGCTGTCCTCTTAGTAGATTTGGGGAAATCCGTGATTTTCACCAAATTGCTCTCATGTGAGAGTCAAAAGAAGATGCCGATGCACGTAGGAGTGTTGGATTGGTGCCCAACCCCCTCCAAATGCATGTATTAACATTCATTTCACCTCCCTAGCCATCACCTACAATCAAACCATAGGTTATTTGATTTCATTTGTTTCAAAATTAGATGTCTAGGTATAGATCTTTTCAAACATTGCAAGTTTTGCTATCTTTCCTTATATCGTGCGTTATGACAAAATTAACACACAAACATAGGAATTCACACTTAATGAAATTTACTGATTCTCCATGGTTTTGTTGAATATCCAAAATACATTTGATCTATTGTAAGGCTAAATAAACTGTTGTAGGATTTGTCACATGAAATGATTCATTTTCTACAAATCCTAGAACAACTAGAATTACTCAAATTTATCTAGGGTGTTTTATAAAATTCATGGAGATGAAAACCAATGGACATTTTGTCCAATCCACAAAATCTTTAATGATTGGAAACCTGCACTCTCATTTCCAATGCACCAATCATGTCAAAATTAATTGGGATCTTCTCCAAGCATTAGGTGTGTATTTCTTACATACATACATGGGTTTCAAATGTACAAATTGCGTATGGAACTATCCTGCCCCCATGTCATGACAAAATTGACATAGATTTAGAAGAACTTGCATATTAAGAATGATGGTTTCTAGAAGTTGGTGAATGTCTAACGAATTAATTTGGTTGGAAGTGATATATTTGATGTCAAAACAAAGGTGGAGTTTCCTATAGACTTTCAAAGGTCTATGTTGTAAACCCCACAATGTCCATGTTCAACCAAACTCATGATCATTTCCTCACCAAATTTAGAACATTCAATCAATAATAATCATTAGCTTGTAATGATCCTCAATTTGTGGAATTTTGGAAGACAATTAAACAGGCTCATTTAATTCCAAAGAAAACGTGAGATGTAGTATGGGCCTTCAAAGGCCCACGAACCCTCATGTTTAGAGTTATTTAACACTATTTATATGATTTCCAAATTAGAAAGTTAAAGTTAAATGATTAAAGCACATACACGTTGTGGGTTATTTATTGACTTGATATTTACCTAAACTTTGTCAGTTTCTAATCATACTCATTTAATTTTTAGATGCTTGTGAAGCGAGGGTGGAGTATTCCATGACTTTCCAAAGCCTATGGATCATATTCCACCAAGCATTGAAATTATCCAAGGATGATTAGCACAATTTGCAAACTAAGAGGTTGGGTGCAATGATATCTAAATTGAGCATACGATGAAACTAATAAAATGATAAATCACATACTTACACTTCTAGTTTTTTTTAAGATCATTTTAAAATTGGCCTTAAAAGCTCCTAAAAGTTGTAGGAAACTAATCTTCCCTCTCCAAATGAATCCAAAACATTCATACAAACGTTAGGGAACTCTCTGTCCTATGCAATTATCCTTCATATAAGATGTTTAGAGCCTCCTCAAGGCTCGAAATGTTAGATTGTATGAATCTTGGCTCTACATTAGAAGCACATTTGCACATTTGTAGGAAACTAATCTTCCCTCTCCAAATGAATCCAAAACATTCATACAAACTTATTAAAAGACGAGAAAGCGGTAGGTATGGAGCGGCGAACTGCTGTTCGAGATGCTCCAAATGCTGCCTTTGCCGTTTGGATTGCTTCCGGATGCTGATTTCACTATCGCAAGCTCACTAGAGTTGATGATAGAAACAACTCTAGATTTCTTTAGAAAGACTCCAAATGGTGGGAGGAAAGGGGAATCTCAACTACAGTTGCTGATTTTCTTTCAGGACCACACATGAGCAGTAATCTAGCCATTCGATTAGCCCAGGAGGAGCACAGGAATCCCCTGGGTCAGTCAGTCAAGCACTCTAGCCGCATATAGGAAGAAGACCTCACCCGAAATTGCTCGGCTTGGTCCCAGGAACGTGTGCGGGAGTTCAGGTTCCACCTTCTCTGGGTCGTCGCACACAGGAAGCGCATGCGTAGGAGGCCTCATGCTGGTTCGTCCAGCTCGGTCGATCCCAGACTCCGCACTATTAAGCCCTCAGTCATAGGCAGGGGCAAAACGACCCCTCTTCTTCACTCGGTTAGATGCGTGAACGAGATCGGAAGACTCGTCTTATTTGCCTTCCCCTCACGCACGCGACAAACAAGGAGTCCTGAAATCCCCCTTTCCCGTTCTCTCTTGCTCGGCTTGGACCCACGTAGGCAAACCAAAAATAATTAAAGCAATCCCTCTCCCGCTCTTCTCTATATGTTAGACAAGGCCTGCCGCGGGACATGATTTCTTGCGCGATATCATGATCTTTCGCTGCATAAATGAGAGGTAAAAGACCTATAGTAATCAGTCTTTGAATCCTGGCCATTGGATCTAATTTCCTTATAAGGGAAAATGAGTAGAAAAGGCCAAGAAGTCAATTTAGCTGGTTTGGGGTTAAATTGAATTTGAATGGGGTCAATTGGGTTGAAATTGTTTTTGAATTGGGCCCAATTCGAATCGATTTGGGTCAATTCGGGTTTGATCGGGCCAATTTTGCAAAATTGGGCTCAAATCGGCGTCAAATTCATTTTGACGGGGCTCGATTGGATTCAATTTGGATCGATTTTGAGTCGATTCGATCGATTTGTGATGCGGGCAAAAACTCCAGGGGATGGGGCACCCGAGGACCTCCGCCGGCACAAGAGGAAAGGAAACGACACGACGCGCTCAAAAAGGGGAGAATACGACGAGCGGAAGAACAAACTCTTACATTTCAAATCTAAGATAGACTTACAAATTAAAACAAACAAACCGACAACTACCAATTGTAATAAAACGACTTTCAAACTCAAATCGAAATCAAAGACACCCTAAACTTGCTTCACTTAGAGAAGAAGGATACAGGTGGGGTGTAAACTTGCGGAGAGACGAAAGAGGTTAGAAGTCCGAGAAGAAAGGTGGAAAGAGCTCGCAAGATTTCCAGAGGAGATGAGAAGGAGAAGGTGGACAAAGCTCGCAAGCTTTTCCAAGAAACCCGCAGGTTTACATTTTCAAAAATCACATATCATTCACTATTTTAAAACATAACAAACCCCTCATATTTATAGGTATGAAAGGGGGAATACAAAAGGACACGACATTGAATTCACACAAGAATCCAAGCAACACAAGCACGGAAATCCCCCCATGCTTTTCACGAAAAAACAGCCCAGCCCAGGAACCGAAGGAGCAACCACGAGAACCAAAGGAGCCGCACGGAACCGAGCGCCAAAGCCACGGGAACCCCCCCTAGCCCGGAAAACCAACAGCCACCGTGAGAACCAAGGGGCCATGCACGGAAAACAACAGCCCACCGTTGAAGCCAAGGAGCCATGGCATGAGAAACAATTAAAGACCGGCTAATTAAAAACATAAAAATTACATTTAATTAAAGATAACTATGAACTAAAAGTTAGCTAATAATGAGCTAACCCTTAGTTCAATAAGTGAACTAAAGACTGGCTCATAAATGAGCTAAATTCCAGCTCAAATTTGATTGAGCTTGTAAACTCGAGGGAAGCAAAAAATCAAATTATTTTGGGCTTCAGTTGACCCCCCTTTGTCTACATCAATTTGATTAGGTCCGATTTAGGTGAATTGATGCTCAATGATGGTCGATCGAGCGCAATTGAGTCCAGTCGGGCTCAAATAGGCTCAAATCGGCTCGACGCGAAAATAAACGTCAACACTTCTTAAGACATCTAAACCTTTGGACCATATCAAGATTGCTCATCAAGCCATCAGTGCATGTCACACCAAATTAGATTAATATCTTTTGTAAAAACTTTTAACTTGTTACCTCAACAATTAGTATGAGCCATGTTCCATTTATTACTATGGATATTAAATAGAAGAGAATGTCATCCTGAGTCTTGTTCTAACTATTTAGGCTCTAACTATTAAGGTTTTAACTTTGCATGCTTAATGCACGGTTAATTATTATGGAATTAGTTTATTAACTCGAGCCTTTCTGTTGCTGATCAAGCATAATGCTATATAGCGCCTCCATTCAGTGCATGAATTTTGCACGAGTAAAAGTACCCCATGATTAAAAGAAGGCTCTCTATAAACAAATGTTATAAAATTCTGTCTCTCTGAGAAACAAGTTATTGGGTGGTCAATCAATGTGGGCTAATTATTTAATGTTAATTTGTTGAAAGAAATGGCTATAAATGTAATATTAAATTATATTAAGAACATAATTTTGATGAAAACGGAATTCATGATCTGCTTGGAAATTGAAAAAGGACTTGCAACTTAGAAGTCTCTAATCTGCTATTGCATATTCCATAATTTTGCTAAATTGCTTCACAAATTCTTTTACTTCACTTTCCTTTCTTCAAAACAGCCTTTCTATTTTAAAAATTCTTTGTAGATGAGATATGTAATATATCAGTGACATTGCTTTGTACATGGAAGCATTGACATGGTAATTGAGGATCATGCATGTTAGACTTGGCATTGGTCCCTTTCTACTTGCTTTTTGTTGTGTCAGTTTATTAACACGAGGGCCAGGATCTGACCTGTCAGATATGTTCTGGTTCTAACCTGATGGCCAAATTAGTTCTCAGTAATTGGGGTTTATGTTACTAGGTTGGTCGTTACAATAGAGACTATCCTGGGTCTTAAAATTACGATCAAATGCATAGGAACATTAGCAACCTCTATGAATATGATAGGAGGTACTTGAATATTTCAAGTAAAACCTAACACCATTGGTAAAAGCAACAAAAACAGTCCACAAATCCCATGCAAAACAGCAAAAAACAGTAATTTTATTGAAAAATCTGAGGGAAAACACTTGAAATTCACTAGTAGAAGAAGAAAAACAGCAACATACAATTGATCCTCTATTCGAGAGGAGGACCTATCTCTCCCAAATCTCTAGACACTGCTAGAGCACAAAAGAAACCTAAACCTAAGAGATCCCAAATTCAAGATACCCTAACCCTAGGAAAACAAACTTTTTAATGCATACAATTCAAAAGGAAATCCCTAAACAGTTCCTACATTCAAGTTTTCCTCGCAAATCCCTCAAACATCCTTCCTAAAATGCTCCGTTGGCTTTGGCTTTGATGAGCTCTCAGGGGTTTATTCTTGCAAACCTATAGTTTCTGTTAGGTCTGACCTGGCTCATGTAACTTGGAAATTTACTCCGGAAGGGTTGATCTGTTTGTTTTGGACTGCCCAGTCTCTTGACCGTTGGTCATGTCTTCCTCCAATTGCAATTGTCATATTTGGATACAGTCTTCCATTTTTGTTTCTTCAGTGTCACAATATCCTATTTGGTTTTGATTTGCATAAAGGACTAACTATCAAGCGCAACACTGAAAATTATTTTCCAGAGACATGGAGGATGGAGCTGGGGTGGAGGCAATTTAAGCAGTATGTCAGCTTCTGTTTCAACTCTTGGTGATACTGCTTGGTTGAATCATGTTCAGAGTGTCCTTGCGGGTGCTGCTTGGATTGCTGCTCGCGTGGCATTGGAATCGGCCTCTGTTCTTGTACATTGCAGGTTTCCTTACTAGATTTGTCAATTTTCTGTTCTTATGAAAAGGGAGATATTTTCTGTTGTTCTAATATTGTTATATCACTTTTAAATTGGACCCCAAACTAGTTGAAGGCAAGCTGTTCATATAATTTTAAATGTTCATTGAAAGTTTATACCGTGTTATGATCTTCGTGCGAAGACTAATGACTTGTATAAAACTCACGGGAGTTTCGAGGCTTAAGTTTTCATTCAGCTTGACACTGAAATCTTAGGATTTTGAGGTCTAAATATAGTGATGCAATTAAACTAGATAACACTCACTTCATAGCATGCGTTTTTAAGTTGATAGATTATTTATTTCTGATCTTTGCCAATGATGCAATATTCATCTGTTTTCCTGGTTGGTTTCATATACTTTTAAGAATACATGGTTAGTTGTGTTTTTGTCTTTTCATAGTTATATGAATATTCTTGAGTATTGATTATAAAAAGCAAATTTGTAAAACTTTTTTGGTGTCTACACGAGATTTGCATGTGAAAAAACCTTGTTTACATTGTATTTTTTACTTAAAAGAAATTCATATGTAATTTTATCATAACACAGTTCTTTCACGTTATTTTTTGTCCAGTGATGGATGGGATAGAACAACTCAATTGGTATCACTTGCAAGCCTGTTACTTGATCCATACTACAGGACTTTCAAAGGATTTCAGGTGTTTTATGAAGAATACGTATTTTGGTGCCTCTGTATTTCATTTCTTTCGAATCTCTGTTGTTGAAATTAATATATATATATTTATTAGCCTGATCATTATCTGGTTTGGTCATAGATCTTGGACATTATCATCATTTCTTTCTGATGTTTGAGATGGCTTTTGAATTTCTTTTCTTCTCTAAATATATTTCATGAATAGAGAACTAACAAAATTACTGATGCACTTGTTGATCATTTTTCCTAAAGGTTGTGATATTGTCTGGTGACGGCAATGGGTGCAATCTTAACAGTTATGGGTTCTTCAATGCAGGCTCTTGTTGAAAAAGATTGGCTTGCTTTTGGCCATCCATTTTCTGACCGACTTGGAATTCCAACATCATCTGGGAGTAGCATCTCAAATTTGGAATTATCCAGACAATCTTCTGCAGGAAGCCTTCCAAGGACATCCTCAGTTGGAAGCTCATCACATTCACAGGTCGCAAACAATTGCTCTCCGATATTCTTACAGGTATGCTATATATAAACTATTAGTGATCAGTGCATTCTGTATTTTCTTCAATTTATTTTAATGGGATAATGATAACATATTCTTGATTAGCTTGACCATGACTATCAGATAGAAGGCTGGCCATTGTGTTGTTTGGATCCTGTTCACAACTACTTTTGTTCATAGCTTCTCATCATAAAGTTTTACATGGAGTTTCATTTGATTCCATGAAATTTCTGTTAATTTTTTCGAACTCCAATTTAATAGAAAATTTAAGGTTATTATGAGTTGAAGTGGCTAAATGTTTAAGTTTTAGCTTATGCTTTTAATCCAGTTTCTAGCCTGGAATTTCTCAGGCTGGACGTGGTTATTTCTTTCTTAATACTTGTTTAGGAGCTCTCTCAAACTGTTCTGGCTCAGTGTTAATTTAAAGATTTAAGCAGATTTCATTCTCTATGTTGCATATCATCCTGCATGTGGTATCACTCATCAAATTAAACTTAACAGAATGGAAAAAAATGACATGAAGGCTAAGTTATTTGGAAGTATTACTTTTTGTATTTTTATTAATGATAAAGATGGGCGCTAGGTTAGTTATAGATTTAAACTCATGTATGTAGCAAGAGAAATTATTTATGACACTATTTTTTAAATCCAAGACTTCTATCTTAGAAACTAATGAGTATAATATTTGAATTAAGGCCCTTTGGTGTTTAAAAAATATTAAAACAAAGTTATTTTTTGACAATCCTTAAATTTGGAAGTATTACTTGATTCATTATATATCAGAAGAGAATACGGGTACTAAGAAATGAAATTGTTGATCCTAGTTATGCTGAAGGTAAGTTTCACGAAAGTTCCAATCATTAGCATTTTTGTAAAAGAGGGCATCATTTTATAAATTTGATCATAGGAAGCCAAGTTTAAAATTTATTATAAATAGGGATACTTAAAAACCTTAATGATTAATTAAAATTAATGAATTTATTAATCCTTCTTCATCATATTCCAAGCTGTCTTCGCATGGAACAAAAGTTATCAGCATTGACATTTTATTGGTGTGATGTGGAATGTGGCGATGGAAACTTTTGAGGGGTCCTACTTCTTTTGAGGGGATCTTATGTGGCATGCACCACTGCCCATCCGTGGTTTTGGAAGGATGATGACCAAAAAATTTGTTCTTTTGAATCTTTTCTCATTCGGCTGACAAATACTCGATCAATCTTGATTAATGGTATTTCGATTTAATAACTTTTGGTAGATTGAAGGTCCTCTGGCTGTTTAAATGAACCAAGTATTTATTGGATTTTAGAAAAAAATGGTAAAATTACAAGATTTAGTTATAACCTTGATAAAATTAGCTCAACTCTTGTATGTAAAGCTCTTATAAAATCACCAATTTTCCATAAAACTCTGGTAAAATTAATAGGGTTAGGTACAACTTCACTAAATTACTTGGGGTGAGGAAACCTTGGTAATTCATTGGAACTTAAGTAAAATTTCTAGGGTTTAATACATCTACATAGAATTACCAGGTTTTAGTACAACCCAAGCTAATTACTATATGAAACCCAAGTAATTCATCCCTAATAAACTTACCAGGGTTAAAAAATCAAGATAGTTTTTGAGTGTCATTATTTGTAAAGAAGTTGCTTTGAGGACTAGTTCATAAAAATTGAAAGATATTGTTCTTTTCATAGATGAACCAAACTTTGAGAACTTTTAAACAAATATCCCTATTCATTGCCATTGTCTTAATGCAATTTGAGTTTCATTTATTGCTGCATTTGATGGTTTTGCCCTCGCATGAACCTTACGTTTCCTATTTGTTGGTTTTGACTAGATTTTTTTTTCATGCCTCTTTGTACCAAAATTTTACCTGTGACCAAGTCGGCTTGGTGTAGTTGAAGCACCTTCATGGTGACTATTTCTCTCTTTTTGTTAAAAGTCAAACCTTGTGTTGCATTAAGCCATAAGTGATTTTGGGATGATTTGTGGAAGATCTCTTGATGGTTAATACAATGCTTCTGTTTGGAAAAGAGATAGTGATGAACTTTTAATTACATTTCTTCGTGCTAAGCTTCCATATTATGTGATATAATTTGAACTTTTATTGACTTCAACTGCAGTGGGTTGATTGTGTTTCACAATTACTAAGAGTGTACCCAAGTGCTTTTGAATTCTCATCGGTAGGTATCCGTACTTACAATTGCATTAATTATTAAAAGCATTAGGCATGTATTTCCTAAAAAATCATATGGCTTATTTTGTTTATCTTCCTAGGCTTTCCTGGTTGATTTTCTGGATTGTGTGCTCTCTTGTCGCTTTGGAAACTTTTTATGCAACAGGTACTCTTAAGATTGTTTTGTTTGCAATTGGCATGCCATTTATTCAATTATCGCTATCTTTTTGCCTCAGATGTAATACTACTCGTTGCAATTTACACAAGTTTCTTAATGTAGCAATTTACACAACTTGTTATGCATTATTCTTTAAGAACATCAACTGATGGGCATACGAATTATCAATATAAACCTGCATCCGATATTTTGAGATTTTTTCTAGTTTTTAATATTGGTTTAGTGAGAAAGAGAGGCAGCAATCCGGTATTGCCGATGCTTGTGGGTGCATATGGATGTACTTGGCCCATCTGCGTTCGTCCGAGGATGGTTCTCATGTTCATTATAATGCGTTCTATGATCCCACAAAACATGCTCGTCCGCTGCGGCCTCCTGCTGCGTCATTGGCTCCAACTCTTTGGCCGCAGTTTCATTTGAGGTGGGCTTGTCCACAAGAAGCACAAGCAGGGGAATTGGAATCTAAGTGGCATTTTATGAGAAAAAGTTGTACAGAGATGGCAAAGGTATTATTTTTACATCTTGCAAAATCAGACTTTAATTTTTGGTTTGTACATTTCTATTTCTTACACCAGCAGGTCACTGATCTTGTATGGATCTCTGAAGCCTTTGAATTATTCTCACATGTACTTAATCTTTGTTTATGAAGGCTAGGGATATGTCGGATATGAAGGCAAAAGATCTTCAAGTTAATCTTGAGTCTCTAGCAGCACAATTGCAGAAGGAGAAGCAATTAAGTATTTCAGCAGTAGCTACAGCTAGAAGGGTGTACAGAGAGAACCTGGCCATAAAGAAAGCAATCGAGGCCCTTGGTTGTGAAGTACATTTCTCATGCAACAGAAGTAATCAATTGGACCGAGGAAATATTGTGCCAGACATAATAGAAGGCTTTACATCCCCTCTAAGATGGGACTCGGTCGACGGTAAAGAACACGACGATAACGATGATCTGTGCGTCTCCATCGTAGCCAGGGACGAGCAATTGGTTTCTGATAACCCAATCAGCAGAGTATGTGAAACACTGTGTCCATACCGGACAAAAGAAGGTTGCAAGTGGCCCGATGCGCTCTGTGCACAATTTGGCAGCCAGTTCGTTGGCCTAAAGGCAAACTTCGACGCATTTGACCGGCTTTCTATTCGCGATTGTTATTTTGGATCAGAATAACTTAATGAATTCATGGCTTCAGTTGTAAAGCAATTAGAGCTGCTTTCCTAAAATGGATGGCTCCAGCTTATAACTGTGCTTGGCTAGAATTGACAGAGATTACAGTATTCTACAGTGTACAGGCGTGACTAATGGACGTTGAATGAATTCTATAGTAGCAATGACATAGATAGATAGCCTTGCAGGATCGACATTCTAGAGGGTGCATTCTCTGGCTTGCCTAGCCTTATTTTAACTCTGCAGGCAAGTGGATCTGTAACATGGTTCGACATTTTATGATTCCAATGTCTTATCAGTTGATTTGTTTGTAAATATGTTTAATAAACTGTATATTTATCTTGACAACACTCCATAATTGAGCGACCACCACATACCATTATTATTTCGTCTTTGTTGTCTGATGACAATGTCATTGTTTTTCAATATATTTCATTAACTTGAAGCAATTTATATCACGGTAAAGCTGCAGTAAGGAAGCTTTCATCAGTCATCATGTACTTAATGCATCTTTTATGCTGAACAAAATGAATTGCAGGGAGTTGATCTTCCTTTGGAGTATTTCTTAACTTTGTCAATCGGTGATATATATATGATTATATGCCAATAAGCTTGTCGTATCTGTTGGATTGGTTGAACAGATTGGAATGGCTAAATGCCAAAATGTTTGGATTATTTGAACTATGACTCAATGAGGTTCGACTTAGCAGTATTCATTTTGGCAAGTTTATAATGAGTTCTTGAGATTTCAGGCAAATGCGTTATTGCTCGCAGCTTTAGAAGTTTGTGGTTCTCTATCAGTGTCAGAATAGCCGTTGAATTACAGGTTAGCTGTTTTGAATATTTGCATTCTGTTATATTCCATGCTTCACTTTTGCTTCTTGGTAAGTAAGTAGCATCACATGTTAATGATTACACTTGACTTCTAGTTATTTGGTAATACTATTTTTCTTTCCAAATTTAGGAATTAGGAGTACCCATTCCCCAAGTGATGCACAATCATCTGCTTGGGACAATACCTGAACCAACTCAGAAGTGGGATTTAGGCTTTATTTGGGATGGCTTTCTTACTGCTTCTTAAAGTGGTTTTCTAATACAAAAGTTAAAATTTTTGTACTAAAAATTGTTTTAAGAAGCAACAAGAAAGCCGCCCCAAGCGAACCCTTAGAGGCTAGTTATGACTGATTTTGGCCAAGTCAGGTCTTAGTGGAGGTAATATTATGATTGATTGTGATGTGGAATGGTGTTGATCAACTGGACCGGTTTATGGGACAGTTGGTAAGATAGCTTTAGAGATTTGGTCAAGTACTAGATGGTTTGGCCAATTGGCCTGGGTGACTGGTTATGACTGATCAAGAGACCGGGTTGGTGTTAAGCTTTCTTTGGCCTTACTACTATGGTTTCATTTGGGATGACTTTTTTGCTACTTCTTGAAGCAGTTTTAAGAACAACAAGAAAGCCGTTTCAAACAAAGGCTTAGGCTTCATTTGGGATAGCTTTCTTACTGTTTCTTAAAGCAGCTTTCTAGTAGAAAAAAATTAATTTTTGTACTAAAAAGCTGCTTTAAGAAGCAATAAAAATGCCGCCCCAAACAAAACCTTAATCTACTGATTATATGGGTCGATGATTGCTGCATGGTTTGATAGTTCTTAGTAGTTATCCAGTTGGTCTGACTGGCTGGCGTTTTGAGTAGCAGAAGTTGGTGGTAGGTCAAAAAACATAAGTGGATGGCCGAGTAGTGAAGAATGGGTGTCATGCTGCGTATCCCTGTGTGGCTTTGTGGATTGGAATAGCCATTGGGATTTATGCAAGTGGATTGGATCGTCCATTCCAGATATTTGCATGGTGGATAGGATTCATTTGGGGCTGCATGAGTAATTTGTCCCTTTAGTGTGGATTGCCCACTTGTATATGGTGTATTTCACAATTAACCGGGCTTCGTTTGGTACGGCTTTTTTAGTGTTTAAAGTAGTTTTTTTAATTAAAAAAATTATTTTTTGTATTTAAAAGTTGTTTTAAGAAGCAATAAGAAAGCCGTCCCAAACGAAACCTATGTATTCTCTTTGTGGTGTTGATTACTTTTTATGTAAAAGAGGCGACCTTGGGTGGTTTATGGTGTAAAGCTTATAGCTGACTCCTTCCCTAACTCTTAAGTGGTTTAGTCCATAAAGAAGGCATAAGATTGAGGGGAGGACAGTGGGATATGGAGGATGAGAAGCTGGCTGAATTGTTGAGTTTTATGCAGACCATTATGCGCATTGAAAGATTTTCAACAAGAGTTGTACTATTAACGCGAAACACCTGTATGCCGTCTGCCAAAAGCTTCAATCGAAGGTTAGAAATCTTGTGTAATTTCGGGAGTGAACATTGCCGCGTCAATATTGGCGTTGCATTGTTAACCTGTGCAATTTATTTTTTTTAATTCTGAAAATTAGGTTATAGATTTTAGTTTTTTAAGTATAGATTTTTATTATTAATACTTTATAAATATAAATATATGATTAAAAATAAATAAATATAAATAAATGATAAAATTGATAAATATAAATATATGATAAATATAAAATAAAATATGGGATAATTTGATAAACATAAATATATGATTAAAAATAAATATAAAATAAAATATGAGAAATAATATACACATAATATTCTTTTTTGATATTATAAAATTGAGTTCGATTGAGGATGAGTTATTATTTTTCGGAGTATTACTGTATTTTGGAGTGAAAAAATGAGTTTTTCGGTTCGAGATGGCCTAAGAGGCATCTGGTGAAGGAGATGCTAGGAATGAGTGGCTACTCAGGCATGAGATTCTCTAGTGTTATATACGTACGCAGGATATTTCTTTAGCTAGATTTATGTAAATTAGCTTATTAGTATTTTAGCAAAACTTAGAAACAAAATTCATCCTACAATTCTCTTATTAATTATATTTAATCAAGCTTAAATTTATATTTAATAAGTAAGCCATAATGATGTAATTAGATCTTAATTATCTTTCCATTATTTTCATAAAGTTCTTTACATAAATTTTAATACTTGATATGCTATAACTTTATATTATATTGATTTAATTATAATTATAATTAAAAGTTCATCAAGTCTACTCATATTTCTCTTTTAAAATGACTAAGTAGTAAAATGGGCTTGTATTTGTCTATCAAAGAGATTATATTGTGTAATGATTTCATGACTAGTTTGTGGAGTGAGTAAATGATTGATATAAATTTCGTTTGGGACGTCCTTTTTATTTTTTCTTAAAGTAGTTTTTTAACAAAAAAAATTTATTTTTTGTAATAAAAAGCTGTTAATTTAATCCACCTCTTATTGTTGGCAGCCAACGAGAAGATGACCCGCCCTTCAGCCCAAAGCACCAAGGGGCACGATGAGCCACTGTGCACATCCGAGCCTTTGCAACACATCCATCGATGGGAGACTAGGCATGGAGCGATAAAATGCTTAACGCCCAGGCGAATTTGCCCTTGGCCGGTTGGCCTCGGACGCAACTTGCGTTCAAAGACTCGATGGTTCGCGGGATTTTGCAATTCGCACCACATATTGCATTTCGCTGCGCTCTTCATCGATGCGAGAGCTGAGATATCCATCGCCGAGAGTTGTGTCAAATGAAGTCATAGTGAAACCCTAAATTAGTAGAGGCTTAGATATGGATGTAAATCGATTCCAACCAAAACTTACAAAAATTTCTTTTGATTTCTTCTCAGATAGCTGCTTTTAACTAGTTGATACACATAAGCTTAACTAATTTCACAAAGATATCATTATAGTTATAATTGAATTTTATAATTTTTTAAATATCAGTCATCCTATTTGATGTACAATGAATCATCGTCTCAAATTAATTTCTTTTAATTTAGGCTGATATTCTTAATTTGATTTGATATAATATGAAAAAAAATTAAAATTGTATGCGCATAATTTTACGATTATTTTTTGTTTTTAATTAGGTGACTTCAAATACATACAAGAACTCATTTTGATTCTTTTCTACTTATTTAGGTTATGCAATTAATTTATTCAAAATTATCACTAAAATTCAAATTTTTGTTAGATTTTTTTTTTTTTTGTAAACAACCCTATTGTCCTCTCACGCCGTCGAAGTTATCCGGCTCAGGAAATCGGCCACCTTGAGGCCGCCCGCAGCATACCCGGTGCCCTGCGTTCCCTCTTGTGCCTTCTTCCCTTTTGACCATCCATTGATTTCCTTACTACTCCTCATCGGTGACGATTCACCGATCATAATTTGATTTTAGACTGCATCCTTCCTAGATTTGTGGGTGCTGCGTGGGCGATCAAGTCGCTATTTGTTTCGCCAATTAATGGATTGTAAGGAAGGAGATGATTCCAGCAGCGCAGGAAGCGGCAGCAGCCAGAAACCGCAGACATCTCGCCTTTCCTGCACCAAATACTTCGACGCTCTGTGGTTTTGTTATTGTAAGTTTTTATTCATGCGCTTTTATAGAATGTACTTCAGAAGGTAGCAGTTTGGTTACCATTTATAGTTTTGATTGTTCCTTCTACGTCAAATTTTGTGTGTGATTTCTGGAAAATTTGCAATTTTGCTTGACTGTTGCAAATTGTTTAAGATAGCTTGACTGATGGTACTGGAAAGTTTTGAGCTTTATGAGTGGTTGTGGTTTTATACTGATTCTAAAACTTTCTCAAATATAGGGGTTTCTTATAGTTGAAGGTAAGGATTGTTCTAAACATTTTTAAGGTATTGATAGTGCGTTGGTTCACTATTCAGTAGAGATAAAGTTGAAAAGAAGAGCTTTACACTAACTAGATGACCACATGATTTATTTTTTAATAGAATTGGTACCCATATATTGACAACTATAACAATTATAAAAGGAAATAATTGATATTAAGGATATTTTTAATTAAGGGAATATATTTCATAAGGCTATCTCCAACAGAAAGGCTCAATTTTCCCTTCAAGATAAAGTAAAACATCAAAATGTAGTAACTTGTCTCCAACCGAACTTTATTTGCTAACACAAAAAAAGAATATTCTATGTATATTTTTTCTCATTCTTTATTTTATATATTTTATAATCATATATTTATATTTATCAATTTTTTGGATTAAAAAAAATTAGCAGGTTGGCATCTCACTGTTCACCCTCACCCGATTTGTGATTTTTTTGGCATTCGAATGGAGCAAGCCAGAAACGCCTTACAATCATTTTAAGTTCGGCTGGAGACGCTCTAATAGTGACAGGGTATCCTACTAACTAACTTTTCGATATGAAAAAACCTGTGATAACATTACCCTTCAAGCTGAGTGTATATATTATAAAGATATAACTTGTTACAAATATTGGAGAATCAAAGTGGTCAAGAGCTTTCCTAAAAATATTTGTTAAATATTCTTCACTACAGGCATGAGGAGTGATGATATTCTTTGAAATGATAATTTACGTTGGTATGTTTAATTCTTTTATAATGGGTACACGAAATGCCAGGCAGACCATAATTTTTTTTTCAAATATTCTGATAACTGTTATATTATTCTTCTTTTGTATGTGGATGACATGTTGGTTGCAAGGTTAGATATGAAAAAGATAAGATGTCTGAAAGAACATTTATCAAATGAGTTTGAAATGAATGATCTAAGTTCAAAAAAAAATTCTTGGTATGAGAATAGTAGGGATAGCAGTGCAGGTATACTAAAATTGTCTCATGCATAGTATGTTGAAAATGTGCTTCAGAGATTCAACATGAGAGAGGCAAAACTAGTTTGCACTCCCCTGGGTAATCACTTTCAACCATCCAAGGAACAATCGCCTAAATCTGAAGTAGAGGAAGAACAGATGAAGAAGACTCCGTATGCTTCAACAGTTGGAAGTTTGATATATGCTATTATTTGTACAAGATCTGATATAGCATATGCAATGGGAGTTGTCAGTAGATTTATGAGTAACCTAGGAAAACTTCATTAAGAGGTGGTTAAGTGGATTCTCATATACTTGAGAGGATCAGTTGATAAAGCTCTTTACTTTGGTGGTAAAGAGATTAATCTACAGGGTTATGTAGATTATGATCTCGCTGGAGATCTTGATGGGAGGAGGAGCACAACAGGTTATATCTTCATTTTGGAAAAGACTGCAGTCAGTTGGGTTTCCAAGTCACAGAAGATTATTGCACTCTCAACCACAGAAGTAGAGTATATTGCTATCACCTATGATGCACCGACACTTCTCCCCAAAGAGACGAGCAGTGTTTGACACCTTATCCGACACGACACTAGTCCGAAACTCCTCCGACACGTGTCGGACACGCCGAAAATATGTCCGATTAAAAATATTAAATACAAATTGGACACACGTATCTTAAATATTTTATGAATTTTTTTAAATATAATTTCTTGTATTTGGCGGGATTTAAACTAAATTTCTTATTTCCTATCCACAACACCAAACAATGTCTGCACTTAATACCCAATCATCGAATATTCTCATTTTCATTTATTTTTAGCAGTGAAGGTATTTTCATCTCCTCTTGATGACTGATAAACAACACCGACGTCTGACGCTCGACATCCTAATGCTAATCATTTTAAGCACAAATTCTAGTTAAATGACTTATTATTTTCATTTTTTAAAAATTATACTTATTTAATTTTTATACACTATTTTTTAAATATAAAAACTATAATACCGTGTACAACCCGTGTCAATGTCCTATATTTTTAATAACTAATGTGTCCCATGTCCGTGTCATATCTGTGTCGCCGTGTCCGTGTCGTGCATCATAGGCTATCACTTAGGCTAGAAAGGAGATGATTTGGTTGCAAAGTTTCTTGACATAACTTAACAAAGTGCAAATGAATGGGAATTTGTACAGTGACAGCATGAGTGCTATATATCTAGCCAATAATGCTGCATTCCATGCTAGGACGAAGCACATCCAGCTTCGATATCATTTCATCAGGTCGCTTCTAGAAGATGGTTAGTTATCTTCGAAGAAGATGCACACGATTGAGAATCCTGTAGACATGCCGACGAAGACGGTGACAGTTGATAAACTGAAGCTATGTGTGGCTTCAGTTTGTCTTTATGGAGGATGAGAGCAGGGGGAGCCACACTATAGGTAGGGATGTCAAAATTTGGTCACGGGTCAGGTACTAATTGACCCAACACGAACCCTACCCATTTTTGCATATTTATGAGCTTTTTCAACCCGGACCCGACCCGCACGGGTTTCCTGGTTAACCCAACTCGATCGGTTGCTGGGTGAGGCGTTATCTGCTTGATGAGTCGACGACAACGACGCTGGCGATGGCAGGACTCGACGCGATGGCGAGCACTCATAACAGTACGGGCACTCAACGTGATGGCGATGTAGGTACTAAATGCAACAGCAGGCAGACTCGATCAATGCAAACGAGACAGCGGGCAGACGTGGTTAGCGCGGATGCGACAACAGGAAGACAGGGTAGATGCGAGTGCCAGAGTGTGGGCAGGAATTAGGATTTTTGATTTCGGCATTTTGTGTACAGTGTGTCAGAATCTTTGATCAATTCGGGTCATTCCTCGGTTTTCGAGTCAACCTGAATCCGTCCTGTTTCACAAACGGGTTGACCATAACCCTTAATTTTTGGATCCAGTTTGAGTCGGGTTTTCGAGTCGTATCAAATCTTGATACCCCTAACTACATGTGATATTACTGATGATGCAGATTGGGAGAAATATTGATTGCAATCTGTTTCTAAGTGGGAGATTGTTATGTGTGGAATCAGATTGTGTTGATCAATATGATTGTTCTATTGTCTTGGACCTCAAAGCTTGTTGTGTTCACTGGGTGGTGTGAGGGGTTTATTCGCTGCTTGGGTTTGAGTGCTTTGGGTGAAATTTTATTTCCGTACTACACCTGGCATTGCGTGCCCGAGCACATCGGTGTTGTGTTCTCAAGTGACCCAGAGCTAAACGATAGAGAGCAGAACACTGCAGCAGCCTATAGATATGGCGTTGTAGAGGTGCAAGATAGAGGCTTGAGCGCCGCAATGGCCCAAGCAGGCGCCACAACATTACGAGACGGACTGAACGGTTTTCTTTCTCGTTTTTCTGGAGGGTTGCATCACTTGGGGTTATTTTACTTACTTTTCTTTTGTATTTTGAATGTGTAAACATTGAGAATGTTGCATATGAGAAGAGAAGCAAGCAAAGAGTGAGAGAGAAGAGAGATTATACATTTTTCTCTCAATTTTCATAGTGGATTTCTTGGTGTGTTGTGGCTACGTGGTTTTCTTCACTATTTTGAGGTTTTCTATGGTACATCCTGGTGACCTTTACTTTCGACTGATTTTACATTTTTGCTTGTTTCTCTGTGGTGTTTTACTCCTCATCCCCAATACTAGTTTGTAGCAGTCTATACTTGTCAAATCATCTATTATTTCTTAATTTTTTCTAGGCCTACTTTTTTCTAGAGTCCTTTTAACCTTATAAATAAGGGGATAAGCGGCATACTAGGGGACTTCATACTATTTTGACTATTCCCAAAGAATATTTGACTTCTTAGTTGCTCTTCATACTCACTCTCCCTCCTATTTTCTTGCTCCACCTAGTAAATTTGTTAGTAGGGTCATGTGTCACCCGTGGCCAAATTTGAATCCAACAGAAAAACTCTTAAATAGAATAAAGAAAAAATGCTAGTTCGAATGTATCAACATCATGCGATCAAAACATGCAATGCGCCTACCCTGAAATTTAACAGAATTGACTACTGGGGGCTTGATGAACAGTAATTGTGTCTATGACAATAACAATCTTCCTTTCCTATGTAGAATTTAGAGATTTGATGTACGACATAAGTTGTGTGGATATTATTGATAGTGGCTATGATTTCTCCAGCCCCTTGTCCTCTTGCTCTTCTGTCACCTCATCCCCCAACAACAAATCACAAAAAGTTATAAAATAGGGGTGTAAATAAAATATATGTATATGTTCATTATGGTAAGTTTAGTGCCTTTCATTTTGAGTATAAGAAATGAAACATGAACCGCTGGCGAGAAATAGATTATTAATTTGAAGTTTAAAATGTGCTAAATGAATATGATATAGTCTCAAATGTTCCCATCCCTTCTCTTCATAAAATATATTTTTTCCCAGTAAGAGTAAAAGTTGACCATCATGTTTAACACTCTTTTGATTAACTCTGACGTGAATTCTTATTAAAGTGTTGAAATTGGAAGCATTCGTCTTTGAAAGAAACTAAGAAAGCTTTTATATTTGGTTTCAATTGTTCTCATCATTTTATAATATGTAATATTTGTTGGAGGTGTTTTGTTCTTCTTTACCTTTTTCCTATTGTTTTCTTGTAGTGCTGAAACTAATATCTGTCCTCTGGGACAGCACCATTTCATCAGATGGAGCAATACTATAGATATGGGCATTTTGACAGTTGCTCTGGCAAGTGGAGCTCGCTTTTCGATTGTCTGTCTCTGAAAACAAAAAGACCAGATGAAGTTGAGGTGAGAATGTATTTGAATAAACATTGTTGATAATTACAACGGCATTAGTTAGTGAGCACCTGTGACCTTGCCGATGCTGGAAGAATGAATGATTAGTAGATTTTTTCTTATGCCTCTCAATACTCAATTCCTTCTTGCAAACTTTATCTTGTGCTCCATTTTGAGGAATGTTTTTGGGGAGTGTTTTAATTAGTTCTAATTGCATTCAGTTCGCCAAATTTCAATCTAAGTTGTCAGAGGACTTCACCTTTCTCTTTGCAAGAAGTTATAGAACTTAATTGCCTATACTTACCTGAGGTGAGTTTCTGCATGCATGGAGAACAGAGGTGGGAAGTAAGAAAAGTGTTAGGCAGGCCCAGGAGGGGCCGGCTGAACCGGTCCAACCTGGATTGGTTCAATGCTACAGCTGGCGGCCCAAGCCCAATAGGTGGCGGAACCAAGGGGAGGGGGGTGGATGCCCTAGTGGGCCCAATTGCTTAATATAATCGTTGTTTAGGAGGGAAAGTTTGAATTAAGGACTATTTGGTTTTGTTGTAGGAGTCCTTTGGCTTTAATTAGTCTTTTCAGTTAGGGTTTGTTTTTCATCTTGAATTTGAAGTATAATTTGAGATCTACAGTGTGTGCTTTTGGGCTCTAGATTTTGCTAGAGAATCTGAGAGTTGTTTCTTTCTCTTGAATTGAAGAAACTTATACCTTGTATTTTTTTTTTTCGAGGATTGAATGGAAGAAGTTTTCCTTGTGTTTCTCTCCAATATTCTGAAATTCCTGCATCATTTTTGCTGTTTTCTCTCTGAAATCAGTATATTTCTTGCTCTCTTTTTTCCAATTATTGCTAGATTTGCTTGCGAACTCAAGTATTTCCCTTAGGGTTACTTGGCGAACTCAAGTATTTCCTATCAAAAAGCTAGTAGTATCATTTGTTCTTTTGTTTGTCGACCTTATTGCAGTTCAATGCTATATGGTTTTACTTTTTGCATGAAGGCCAATTAATTTGAAGCAATACAAGTCTTTATTATATTAAGTTTCTTGCTAATTACTGATGTTGATCATCTGTAGCTGAAAACATACTGATTATGGCTTCGTTTTGGACGACTTTCTTATTGCTTCTTAAAGCGGCTCTCTAGTATAAAAAAATTTAAAAAGCAATAAGAAAACCATCTCAAATGAAGCCTATGTCTCCTCCCTGCATCACATATCAGGTGATATACTTGAACAAATCCCATGGAAAAAAGTTTCACATTCCAAGAGCTTTCCTTGCTACATTTATCATGTAGTACATAATTTAGCAGGGTAAAGACCCTTTTTAGCAGTTCTGCCATAGTTAAGCATATAGAAATGCGTAAATGTTGTCAGGTTACTATTTTTCCCTTGTTTGAGCTTTAATTTTCTAACTCGCTTTATTGATTGTTTAGTAGCAGTCCAGTAGTCCATTAGAGCGCTGCATTGGTTACCCATACGCATACTCACACCCACCCATACCCAATGTTTAAAATTACGTAATTGGGTATTGAGGCGTTTTTTGTTCATGAGGCGAGGCGTAAAAAAAATTACATAAAGTGATAATAAATGTTAAAAGTGATTTTTTATATAATATCTAAATAATATGTTAAATAATAACATATTAGCTTCCTATTGAATTATAAATTAATAAATTAACATAATATAAAACAAGAAATTACACAAGATATAAAGTGACAAGTGATAAATTACGTGAAATAGAATTAAAATCCAAATATTATAAGAGCAAAACAATATTAAATAAAAAAATTGTATAAAACTATCATATAACATTAAGTTCAATTTCAAATTTCTTCTTTCTCAATTATCTATTCATTTACATTTAATTCCTAATAAAAGTTGAAATAGTTGACAACAACTTAGGAATCATCTGCATTATCATCATTGAGGTGGTATTTATCTGAGTTGTCACCATAACAACTTAGTCCATCCCCTGCCTCATTCAATAGAGTTGAATTCCTCCCAATATGCTTCTTTTTAATTTATTTCAATCATGTTCATCTTTTAGAAATATTTTCATCAACATAAATATGAGATTAATGCTCCAAAATTTTTAGGGTAGTGGTGTGCATATTTCAAGTGATTATCGGATACGACTATGATGGTGTTGGTTGTGGTGAAGGCGCCGTGCCGTGGGTTTGAGGTAGAGGCAATTGAGAGGAATTCGTTGCGCTCGAATGTGCATGAAGGCATGATTTCTGTTAGTTTTAAATATATATATGCTAGCGAGGCGAGGCGGGCCTCAGCTAAGCTGAGGTGCAAGCCTCATAAAAAAGCTAGAGGCGTAAGCCTCGAGGCGCTTTTCACTAGAATTGCGCTGAGGCGGGCCTCAAGGCGAGCCTCATATTCCTCCCAATATGCTTCTTTTTAATTTATTTCAATCATGTTCATCTTTTAGAAATATTTTCATCAACATAAATATGAGATTAATGCTCCAAAATTTTTAGGGTAGTGGTGTGCATATTTCAAGTGATTATCGGAGACGACTACGATGGTGTTGGTTGTGGTGAAGGCGCCGTGGGTTGGAGGTAGAGGCAATTGAGAGGAATTCGTTGCGCTCGAATGTGCATGAAGGCATGATTTCTGTTAGTTTTAAATATATATATACAAATAGGGTGGGACGTAAGCCTCACGCTAGCGAGGCGAGGCGGGCCTCAGCCAAGCTGAGGCGCAAGCCTCATAAAAAAACTAGAGGCGTAAGCCTTGAGGCGCTTTTCACTAGAATTGCGCTGAGGCGGGCCTCAAGGCGAGCCTCATATTGGGCAATTTTAAACAATGCCCATACCCAATGACCTTGTGGGTGGGTATGGGTGGGTGCTCAATATCGGGGGATAAATCAATTTACATTGCTAATTACCATATATCTTATATTATTGCGATCCTCACTATGTAGTGTGCAACACTTAATTACGTCGCGACTACAATAAATTTTACAAAGCGGCTTCAAAGTTTGTAATCAGAGCAAAGGGCATCAAGCCTCAAGGTCATCTGTCCATCGCAGACTGCGTTCAAAAGCATGGAATAGTCACCATGGGTGGGCGAAGCTTGTTCGAGTAAAACATGGGTACCCAATGGGTACCCAACCAGGACCCCATGTAGGGCTTTGTAGTCCATTATCATATTTCGTCCTTACAACTTCATCTTCCCTTTTGAAATTTGCAGAAAATTCTGCAAGCCAGAGAGAAATCGAAGTCACATATATGGACATATCGGACCGTGGAGGAAGCTTCGGAAAACTGGTGGCGTATGTATCATCATTTGTTTGACAAATCTGACACAAAACCCAAACCTGATGCTTAATCTTCATGCTTCTTATTTTCTCATCGGAATATTTTGTCTCCACTCATTCTTTGTTGATTTGTAATCTGTATTTGGAGGTTCCTACAAAGTAACCCAAATGTTCTCATAGATTTTTATTAAAAATCTGGTTAGCAGTAGCAGAACCTGTAGCTCCAAACCTGTTTGAATTAGATTATCTGATTCTTTTTTTAGTGACATGGTTTGCTATTTCGTTCAATTTTTGTAACCATGAAGACTACTCCATGATTTTGGATAATTTAATCAAATAGTTGAGCATCACCTGCTGTGTACTGATTTGATGTTTTCTCTCTTCTATTGAATTAATGGTATTGCAAATAAGATTGAATCACCCCATTAAGACATCATTTGAGATCGTTTTCTTACTGTTCTCTAAAGCAATTTTCTAGCATAAATTTTTTTTGAAAGTAACAAAAGTTAGTGGGCAAAAGCTATATCAAATGAAGCCTAGCTTTATTTGGGATGGCTTTTTTCTTGCTTTCTAAAACAGCTTTTAAGTACAAAAATTTCAAAAAAATTCTTGAATTTTAAAATTTTGTACTATAAAGTTGCTTTAGAAAGCCGTATGAAAGTTGACCCAAATGAAGCCTAAGTCAGTTCCATTTATCCATATTTTTTGGCACCATAATTCTTCTCATTAGCTGTAGTTATTTGATCTTCTGTCTCTCTGATCATGTTTCAGTAGGGTTGAATAGCTTCAAAGTCTTATGATCTTTGTAAATATTATATGTTTTAAGACCTTTATGATTTATATTCTTTATACTTCCACCTAAACCCTTCAATTCAACTTGGATTTAGTTGAGATTTAGGAAGAATAATGTTTTTATGCTAATTTTATTCATATAAAACTGCCAAAGCATTTCCCAGATTTTATTAGATTTTACAGATGCCACATCAAATAATTTTAAAGATATCAAAGCCTTTGAATTTATTAAAATTTTGATTGGGATCACTTTTATTTTTTTAAAAGATATATTTAAAATAAAAAGTTTATTTATTATGCTTTTTAGTTATTTATCTTTATTTTTAAAAATAAATTATATTGTTGCCAAAGCACTCAAAATAAGTATTTAAAAATTATTATCACAACCAGTTGATGTCAGTCATGCCAGCAGCCCATTGATGATTGTTAGTAGTGTAACTGAGTTGAGTCGAGTTTGGAGTCATGCCTAATTCGAGCTTGGCTCGTTGGCAAAATTGCGAGCTTGAACTCGAGCTCAAACTCAAGTTGAGCACAAGCTCAGCTCATGGGAATGAAAATGAGCTCGTGAGCTCTTGTGAAATATGTAAAAAAACTTAGCAGTTACTCATTAAGAGCCAACTTGGGAGCTCATGAGCTGCATATTGTCATGTTCAAACTCAAATTTGTTTAATAAACGAGCTTGAGCTCATGAGCTTGTCTAGCTTTACACTCGAGCTAGAGCTTTTGGGAGCTGAGCTTGGGTTGACTGATGAGTTGGCTCGACTTACTTGTACCCCAAAGGACTACTATCATCATCACATAATCAAATTATATTATATATATATATAAAAAATTGTTTTAGAAGTAGAAAAATAGTTATCCCAAATAAAATCTTAGTAAAAATTATATTTGTGTAATTATGCTTTTACACTTGGATATTCTTAAAAAATAAAAATATTTTACCAAATAAACTATATTCGATTTTTTATTGATTAGCAATAGGTATTTGTAATATTAATTGCAAAGTGAAAAATATAGTTTATAAATGTGATGTTTTAATATGTAATTTGTAGATTTTACAAATAATATTAATAAATGGGGATTACATATAACTACAAATTATTATATATTTTACATTTAAATTTTAATGTTTATTTACATAACACTTAAGTTTTTAAATAAAATAAAAATACTAAATTAATATTTAAAAACAACATTTTTTCATGAATATGTTTTGGTATAAGTTGAGATATTAATATTATGATATATATATTATATATATATATATATATATATAATTTAATTAATATTACCTTAAATTGAATTATTTTTAATAAATTCCTTAAATAGATATTAAAAGTTATAAAAAAGAGCAAAATAGATATTGGATAAAATCTCATAGGCCATAATGATTCCTTAAACTCTTACTGACTCAAAAATGTAAATTCAAACTATAGATAAATGTTTTTATCAATAATATTAGAGATTTTTATGACACCATCAAATTAAAATTATTTCTCTAGAATAATCTATCATAAAATTCCAAATAATAATTAAAAAACTTATCAATCCCACTAATAAAACAATAGTAATTTCTATCTCACAATGATATATAGTAATATAGAATTCTTACGTTGAATTCAAACCATGTAACACTTCTCATTATTCATCTCTCAATACAGAACTAAAGGACTCCATTGCTTGAAGAGGAAGCAATATCTATGACAAATCGATAGCGCACATCGTTCTTCGCAAGCCTTTCCATGGCCTCATTGATGCCTTCAGGCTTCACAGTCTCAATGTCACAAGTAATGTTGTGCTTCCCACACAAATCCATCATCTCTTGCGTCTCCTTCATTCCACCTATCAAGCTCCCCACCACCTTCCTCCTCCCTAAGTAATCAAAACAATGACATGTCGTAGTAATTAGCTGATCATAAATGATCTAATTATCACTAAAGGAAATTCAAGCATTACCGGCATTTTTTTTGGCGGTAAGAATAAGATTTCCGGAGGTTTAGTAAATTACCGGAGGCGGTTTTCCGACAGTTCGAAAACCACCGGTAAAAATTGCGTATGAAACTATTTCTAGTTGTCCATTATTTCCGGCGGTTATAATCACACGGCCGGTATTTTCCAGCTATCATAGCTGGTTATTAAACAGGCGCCACACTCCCGCGATTATTAAACCGCCGCTAATTCCGGCGACAATTTATTAAACACCGCCGGTTAATATCTGCGGTCAAACCGCCGGTATTACCGGCAGCTATAGGACCACCGGTCAAAGCCGCCAGTAATAGTTAAATTTTCTGTAGTGTATGATTATCTGTGTGATTTTCATAGTTTAGAACTTACCAAATAAGAGCGGAAAGGAAGGTAGAGGGAGGGGTTTCTCTGCAACACCGACGAGCACCAGTGTTCCTCCAACCTTGAGGAGTTCCAGGAGAGGGCCAAGTGGGTGCTGAGCTGACACTGTATCGAGGATGAAGTCCAGGCTCTTTCTTGCAGCCTTAAAAGTTAAACAGATGGGATTAGCTCTAAAATTACTTACAACTTATGCTTTATTTGGAACGACTTTCTTACTGTATCATAAAACAGCTTTTTAGTATAAAAATTAAAAATTTTATACCAAAAAGTAGGGGTGTCAATTTTTGACCCAACCCGAAAAAATCCAGGTTAGGGTCGGTTTCAGGTTCAACAAATCAACCCGTTTAAAAAATCGGGTATGGTTCGGGTTGACGAGCAACCCGAAATTGACACGAAAACTCGTATTTGATCCCAAAACCCGAGATTAACCCATTTTTTACCCAATTTTTGACCCGAAAACTAGCAATTTTGGATCAACCCTTGGTCATTCGTGTCAGGTCGAGTTGACCCAGACCCGAATCGGATAAGGTTCGGGTCCGAAAACTTGACTTATTTTTAAAAATGGGCTAGGTTCGGGTTGACCCGAATAGTGCCGGATCAGTTCCGGGTTTTACCCGAACCCGACTCGTTGACCCGAATTAACACCCCTACTAAAAAGCTGCTTTAAAAAATAGTAAGAAAGCCATCCCAAACAAAGCCTTAATCAGGGAGAATCAAACTCACCTCCATTTGGTCAATGTTGGTGCTAATGATGAAGTCATCAGCGCCAAGACGACGTCTTGCTTCATCTTCCTTGGATGAGGAAGTACTAATAACTGTGACATGCAATCCAAAGGCCTTCCCAAGCTTGACACCGATATGGCCGAGGCCGCCGAGGCCGACAATGCCAAGCCGCTTCCCAGGCTGGTCCAGCATCCCATTTTGCTTCATGGGACTGAACATTGTAATCCCCGCACATAGCAGTGGAGCTGCTGCATCCAATGGCAAGTTCTCCGGCATCTTCACCACAAACCTATTCAAGGCAACGCAATGGATCAAGGCAGTCGAAAAAGCTTCTTTGTTTGCAAATACAAGTGTTTTGCTCGTTATAAAGCTCTTGTTCAATTCATTTGTTAAAAAATGAAACGAATACATGATGAATTTTTTGTTTAATAAGTGGAGGAATGCATCGGGCTTATTATGCGATAGAAAAGTTCGATCCCCCTCAAACTTAAGGGAAAATTCTATAGGATGGTGGTGAGACCTGCAATGTTTTATGGTGTCGAATATTGGCTGTTAAAAGAAAAGCATGATACTAATTAAGTTAAGTGTGGCAGAGATGAAGATGCTTAGGTGGATGAGTGGCTTTACCCTTAGAGATAAGATACGAAATGAGTATATACGTGAAAAAGTTGGAGTAGCTCCAGTGGAAGATAAGATTAGAGAGAGTTGTCTTAAATGGTTTAATCACATTAAACGAAGGCCTTCCGATGACCCGGTTAAGAAAGTTGAGGTAGACCTAAAAAGTCTTGTATAGAAAATATTAAAAATGATCTTTCGTTATTAGATATAAATAAGAATTTGACTTTTAATAAGACACAATGGCGAAAAAGGATTCATGTAGTCGATCCCACGTAATGGGATAAAGGCTTGATTTTGTTGTTGTAAGTAAATAAATAATGTGTATAATACTAGTACCGTTTGTGGGAGACAATCATGGTGGAATATCCACCATATGTGATGCTTCCATCCCAGTAGATGCCGCCATAGGTGAGCTGGATATCATCGCAGTAGTTCTCTTCATTGGCTTGGCACATCTCACACTTCAAACAAGAGGCTGCGAGGCAGCCAACGCCTACTTTGTCGCCAAGTTTGAACTCAGTCGCATTGTTTCCCACATTGATGACGACTCCAGTGATCTCATGCCTACACATCATTCAATCATAATTATGTTATGTTGCATATGACATTAAGAAATGATACATGATGCATGATTACATGATGTATATTGATGCTGGAGTTATCAGAGGCTAAAATTCATGTTATGTTTGTGATGTGGAAGACAAGGATGTAATATAGTTCCATAAATTTTGAAATTATGTAGGACTAAATAATAATACAAATTTGTTGAAGATAAAATGATAAATGAATGCAAAGTCATGGATTTTGGATGATTTCTCATTAGCATTTGTTAGATATTTCATTTTGAAATCTAATGTGTCATAGTAAAATAAAAATAATGATAATGATAATAACACATCACAATACAACATAACATTATAATGAATGATAATCTTCTTTATTTAATTAGTGTGTGTTTGAGGGCAAATTACTGCGTCCGGTCACCTGACATGCGGACATCCAATCCGGACACGCCACCTCACCCGGATGCACTAGGACCCGGTATTTTTGAGTGACGTGTCGCATTTTTATTGGTGTCCGGACGAATCCGGACACCAGACACAATAATTTGCCGTGTTTGAGACAGTTTGTTAGTTGCTTGACTCTTTAGATAACAATCATAATTTTATTTGGCAACTGTTTTTTTATTACTTTTCTCACTATTTTTCAAAATTTTATGTGATTGAAAGCTGCTTCTTGCAACTAGAATAGCTAAATTACTTTCTCCAAAAAACTTAATAATCAAATTCATAAAACTCTACAACCTAAGCAGACTCTTAGACTTTGAGTTAAAATAAAATTTCTATATATCCTCTAGGGCCGGGTCGAGAGTAGGTTTGTACGGTAGAAATTAATATTTTTTAAATAATTAAAAAAAAAGATTTTTTCCTATATTTTGTTTAGGAATTTAATTTTCTTAATTTAAAATTTATTATCTGATTTCTTTTTAATTATTTTTGCTAAACCAAGAGTCCTATAAATTTTTCTTGGCTTCTTCTTATTTATTTTATTTTGTACAACTTTTATATTTTGACACTAAAATTAAAAATATAAAAAACTTTGAAAAGCAAAGTCTGAAGAGGGAAAATTTGAAAAGGAGGGGGTGAAAGGAAAGTCCACATAGTCCATTAAAAATTAATAAGAGGGCCAATTAGCAAAAAAAAGAAAAGGTTATGCAAATTAAATGGGTTGTTGACTTTTACTTGACTTATTTTTTTAAATAATGTTTTCTTTAATTGGACCTTAATTAAATTTTTTGCATAAAGATGTGAAATAATATGAGAATATTAATTTATTTAACATTTATTATAAAGGGTGCTGCAAACCTTTTGACTTTTGCCTACCCACTTAAATTTTCTAGGCCTCTACATGTCAGCATGTGTTCTCTCTAATTAAAAAACCAACACACTTTCTTTTACTAAGCTTTCTTTTCCAAGAATCCTATCCGTTTTATTTCTTACCCTTTGAAAGAAAAAATCAATATGTCAATATATTCTGATCAAATTTTTGATTAGGATGATTTTAAATCCCTTTGATCTAATTTTAATAAGTGCAATATAAATTATTTATGTATTGCACCTATTTATAGGGGAACCAATGACTATGATTAGAACATCTAAACAACATTTTTTCTTGAAAGCTTTATACTTGTCGTAGTTATTATGGTGCTCCAATAACTTTTCTTCCTCTTGCAAAAAAAAATAAACTTGCTCTCATGTCAAAATCGGATTGCGGGTCGAATTCAGAACTGATCCGATGTTATTGACACGACCCGTTTTTACAAATGGGTCGAAAAGTTCAACCCGAACCCGACTCGGCTGGGTTTCTAGGTTGACCCGACCTGACACGAGTTATGGTCGAAGAAGCATGCGAATGGGAGGAATGTCGCCAGCATTGAAGCCAGTGAGGGAAAAACATAGTTGAAGCCGCAGGACTGGAAAACAATGTGAGGGATTGCGGGGTTGACCATAACCCTTTGGGACGGCAACGCCGGCGGAATGGAATTTCATCGACCTAGGGTTTAATAAAATGTAGAGAAAGGAATGTCATTGGCGTTGGCGGGATGGCGGTCGGCGAGGCCGCAGGACAGCGGGAGAGGCGGATGACGAGGCCTTCACGCGGGACAACAGGCACAGGAGAGGCGGATGGCGGGATTTTCAAGTCATTGTAATTGGAACATGCAAATCCAAGTCATTGTTAGGTTTTTTTAGGTCAACCCAAACCCGATCCAATTTTTGAAACGGGTCGATTTGATGAACCCGAATCCGACCTATTTCACAAACGGGTTGATCCTAACCCAAAATTTTCGGGTCGAATTCGAGTCAGATTTTTCAGGTTGTGTCAAACATTGACTCTCCTACTCAAGATTGAAGTGAGGGAAAATGAACTGTAGTTCCTAATCCTTGATTCATAGGGCAGCTTGTGGAGCATATCCATGTATTTGATGAGATGTAGTGTTTCCAAGTGACTGTTCTTGGATACTTGGAGCGACTAGAACACCTCCCTTAGGTTAAATCAATGAGTGATTGATCTTTTAGACTGTTTCTTGGAAGTCGATTCAGATGCAAATGATCTTCACCCTTTGTTGAGCGAAGGTGCACTTGGATTGTTTAAGATGGAATTGGTTGAATTGGAGGCAATTCAAAACTCTTTGTAGATGTTGCATGAGCATGGTCAACAAGGGTCGGGTTTATGTAAAAAATGTCATCAAAGATGATAATGATTGATTTGGCTTCAGGAAATTCAATTTATCAACATAAATCTTGATGTAATATTAGAAAACTTTTAGAATTAAATTTAGAATCATCGAAAGACTAATTTCAATAAATTTATAATCAAATTGTAATAAAACAAATCTAAGAACAACAAAGGTGATCAAATCTGAGTCCAAATAAGTTCAAATCAAGCACTTGAAAGATAATTAAGTTTGAAACATTAATTTAAGGATAAAATAGTCTCTGATTATTGCATACTTATAGTTAGAACGAGTGGCTCGATAAGATCATCCAACTAGCTCAAGATCACCTGATTCTGACGTCATTAAAGTGCTTAAATGTTGAATAAATAGTTTATAATTAAAATATTTGATATGAGCTATTTGATGAATAGTCATAGAATATTAGCAAAATTTATCAAAACAACCATTCTCCAAGTATTAAAAATTGACTCTCATTCTTCTTCTGAAGGGGACTTAGACTTGAAATGGGAGAGATCTTGGAGATCTAAGATACTCTAGAATTTTACTTGGCATTCGATGCTAATGACCAACCACCATCATAGCATGTTAATTTTCATCTGACTATTGTTGCTTAACTGTCATTGTCTGTCTACCCTTGCCTAACTGCCATTATCTAACCGTCATCGTCAGACCATAATTATTTGACCATCATTTCCTAATTGTCATTGTTCAATCGTCATTGACCGATTGTCATTATCTGACTACCATCTCTTAATTACCATCATAAAATGAACATATCCTGACCACCATTATCTAACTATCACTTTCATCTAACCAACATCACCTTACTAACACTATCCAACTACTGCATCTCTAACATCATTCATATTTATAGAGTTACAAACTTGTGTTACATACTTTATAATATCATCTTCTCTAAATAAGGGAAAAAAACAAACATTTATAACTTATTTATATGATGAAACATTTCATCAGAGCCGAGCATTGTTATTTTTTCCTTCTCTAGGCTTCCCATGTAAAAATTATCATGTTTGTTGTGTTATTCATGATAAAGAGAACATTCATTATTCATCTTTATTTTGCTTCCCAATTGTAGAGATTTATAGATTTTCAATCCTAACTCATCAAGTAATTATCCTTCAAAATACTAATTACAACAATTATTTGATTCTAATCACTCCTAATTGGGTTCACTTCATGTTCTATTAATTTAGAACTCATAAAAAATGACTCTTTCGAAGAATCAGAAATTTCTAATATAAATATTTCATATTCACTTTACTTCAAATAAAAAAAAATCAAAATTCATATATATATTTCTACTTTACCACTCTTATACAACATTATACTCTTAACATGTCGAGATTTAGGTTGGATTTGAGACGGATTCGGGTGAAATCCATCCAAACAGCCTAAAATGTAAATCAAATAGGACGTTAAATGAAAGCCACGATAGGCAGAAAATTAACCCTTTTCGTGGTAAATCCTAGATTTTCGAAATCCTCTGATTTGATGGACTTAACGCTCTATTGACACAAGAGGGATGAAGAGTCTGCAAGTTCCAAGATTTAACGCTCTATAGCCAAACAGTTATACAAAATTTATCATGAATTTTAGTAAACAGTTTTCAAAATTTAGCTCCCTGAGAATTTCGTAAATAAGGATTTAGAAGATTTATGAAATCCTACTTAAATAAAATCCTCAGTGCTACCAAAAAGCCCCTAAAATGTCTTATTGCATGCTACCTCATCCACTCCATAATCAAAACTTACATGAAGAGAAAAAATCTTAAGCAAGCGGTCTGCGGAAGGTGTGATAGCCATGGAAAGGAAGGTTTTGCAAGAAAGCGAGATTCTAATATACTCAAAGCTGAAAACTTTGATGCAATCTTTATCATATATGAATCTATTGCATGTTCTCTTTGATGCATGAGAGAGAGAGAGAGAGAGAGAGAGAGAGAAAGAGAGAGAGAGAGAGAGAGAGAGAGAGAGAGAGAGAGAGAGTACCCTGGAACAACAGGGTAGGTGGTGAGACCCCAATCGTTTCTAGCATTATGAAGATCAGTGTGGCACATCCCACAGTAGAGTATCTTTATGGTTACATCCTCTGCTCCGTTTCTCCTGTTTTGATTTTGTTTTATTCACCATAAAAAACAAACATTTCTCAGAATCATTCAATCATCAAATGAAAATGTACAATATATCCTTAGAAAGGCAAAGCAAAGAAGAACACCTTCTCTTGAAGACAAAGGGAGTTATCTTCCCCGACGAGTCGCGAGCTGCCCATCCTTTAACAGTCTGTGTGTGATTTGGCGTCGTCTCTGTCATCTTTAAAACCTTCTTCTTCTTCGCTCTCTCTCTCTCTTGCTCTGCTTCAGCTCGCCCTCTTCTTCTTCTTCTTCTTCTCCCTCTCTCTTGCTCTGTTTCGTTCCGCGGTTCAGTTGGAGTTATTATAAGCTACGCGGAGGAACAAAGAATCCGCTGCATTATCTATAACACCGAACAGGGAGATTTGGGTTTGTTCCCACTCATCATTTAAAATTGAAAAAAATAAAAAATTTAATTATTGTAAATTAGTTCTAATATTATCGTTGTCATGTTAATAATCATAAAAAATTTATCAAATAATCATAATGATATCAATTCTTTAATATATTCTATTATTATTTATAAATTAACTTTAATTTTGTTATTTTTATTTAAAATTAATATTATATTTTAAATATTTTCATAAAAAATGCTCACAACTTTTTAATTCTAATTAGCTGATTTTAATATATATTAAGTTTTAATTTTTATATAAAAAAATATTTTAAGAAACAGTAAAAAAATCGCCGTAAAGAAAACCTAAAGTTTAATTTGAAACAACTTTTTCACTATTTTTAAATCAATTTTTAATGCATAATTTTTTTAAATTATAATCAGAAAGCATTAAGCAAACTTTTCCAAATGAAAAATAAATCTACTAAAAATATATTGCATGGATGAGATGTTACTTTCTTAATCTGATAGGACTTTATCTTTATATTTTTTTAACTAAAAATAATGTAAGATTAAGAAACCTACCACCAGCTTAGATTTGTTTAGGAAGTCCTAATTTGAGCATTCCTAGAAAAGCCTCCAGTTTGAATTCCTAACGGCTACCTACCCCTCGTCAGTGAAAACTTCTGCCCAATTTCTTTAGAAATATTATAAAAAAAAATACTTTACTTTGTTACTCAAAAAGATAATTATAGTTTAAAATTTAAAAAATTAATTTAATTTTTTTTTTTAGCGTTTGATGTTTCATATAAAATAAAATAAAATACTTGATAGGTATTATGCACATAATTATTTGTAAAAAATAATAATTATACAATAAACTTTTGAATTAATTATGGTAAAAAATTGACATTAATCAGTCATATTGTATAATTTATTAATTCATTTTGATTAAGAGGTAATACAAATATTAATTACAAATTTCAATATTGTAATTAGTATCCATAAAAATATTGAAATTTGTAAAAATTATAAAATTATAGAGTTTATAATGCATGTTTTCAGCATTCAATTGAGCTGACAAGTGCTACAGTGCACAATTTCAGAGATAAAATAATTGTTTACGTTCAGATCTAGCGAACTTCGTGTTCCTTTCTAACATTTATATTTACGCGGTTTATTTTGATTTGTTGGTTGAGAGTAAGCGAGTAAATGAGTCGAGTGGAGTTCGAGTCATCTCTAGCTTGAACTTGAGCTTGAATTTGATTAATTAATCGAGTTCGAACTTGAGCTCGAGCTTTATTCTGCTAGTTCAACTCGGCTCACGAGTCATCTTATGAGTCGTCTCATTTATTATGAAAGATTAAAAAATGAAAATGATTTAAATAATTATTATAATAAAATGATAAATTATAAAAAAATTAATAATAAATATGAATTCTTTTGATTCTTTGGTAATTTGATCATCTCTACTAATAGATCAGTGGATGAAGTATATATGTGAATTATGAACTTATAAATTTTTTATCGACAAAAATTTTAAAATGTTAAAATTATTTTGAGATTAATACAATATAAATTATTTATATTATATACACATCTTCAAATAAATTCTAAAAATTAAATTTCATATTTACCTAACATAAATATTTTCCCTTCAATGAAAAAGTCTTTTGCCCAAAAATAATCCTTTGAAATAATTTGAATTGATTTATTTAAAATAGAATAAATTTTGTAGTGATATAAATATTTATCATAAGAAAATTTTGACTTATATTATTAAAGTCTTAACTTACTCATTTTTTTATTTAAATCACATAAGAAATTATTAACCTGAAATTAAATCGAATAAAAAAATTAATACGACAAAGCTAAGATTTTTCTTTGGTCTTCTCTTTTACGTCGTTCTGTTTGAGGAGATTTTTACGTTGAATTTGACGTAGTGGCAGACTTGTAATAATAAGATTACTTAGAAACTTACAAGAAATTAGGCCAAATTTTCAAAAGATTTTTTGTTTACGAAAAGAAATAAAATAAATAAAATAAAAAATCGTTGAATGTTAGTAGCTTCCCCCCCCCCACCCCCACATAGGCCAAGTTTTTATAAATTTAAAATATTTATATAATATTGATACATCATAAAAAAATTATCATGATCGGCACGAATCTTGAGGCAAAATCAAGTTGGAAACTTTTAAAATTAAATCTAGGCTCATCTGAACTCCGATTCTAGCAAACTTATAGTTGAACTTAGCGTCTCGGAAATACAAACCCAACTACACCAAATTCAACTCAATCCGAGCCCAAAATAGTTCAAATCAAATACCTGAAGCACATTCATAAGGTTCAATCCATAATTTGGATTACTAAACAGTTTCCAAATATGACATTCTTATAGTCGAATAGAATAGCTCGATGAGACAAATACAACGAGCCCAAGATCGTTAAATTCTGATGTCATTAGAGCCTTCAAATGCCTGATAAACGGTCCACGATCAAGGGATTCAACATCAACAGTCAGTTCAAACCACTCCCAATTTATCCCCGATCTTTCACCTATTTACTAGTCATGCCATCCTTAAAAAATTATAAATAGCCCATTATTTCTCTTAAGAGGGGACACAAGCAAGAAGAGAAGAGAAGAAAAGAAGGAAGAGAAGGAAGAAGCTCCTCCTCAACCACTACTGGAGTTCCTCCTCTCTTTCAAGTGACGCTGGAGTTCCGTCCGAACTTCAAGTGACGCCGGCATTCCGTCCGAACTCCAAGTGGCGCTGGAGTTTCATCCAACTTTCAATAGACACTGGAGTTTCGTCCGACTTTCAAGTGACGCTGTAATTAATTCCGCTCGACTTCCAACTGACGTCGGAGTTCTGTCTGACATCCAAGTAATTAACGCTAGAACTCTGTCTGACAGCCGACAGACACTAGTTTTCTGAAGTCAGCATTCTGATATCCGTTTACAACTGAATTTCAACCTAAGAGTTAATTATTGTAATCTGATCATTCTAAATTTTAAGGACGAGTCACCTTCTTGTAACTCAAGCAAATACTAGTGAATTCATTCAATTAGGCGTGGCCCCGTGATTTTTCCCTTTATAGGATTTTCCACGTAAAAATCATGGTGCTTTATTTCTCTTCTGTTTTGTGTGTTGAATATCCGTACAACGCTGAGACGAAAAATTCTAACTCTATCGCCATGCATATTCTAGCCTGCAACAATATATATTATAGAAAATTAAAAATATTTATATAACTTATGATTTAAAAAAAAATGTTAAATTAAGGAGTTTAAAATTTATATTTTGTTGTACTTTTTAATTTTTTGAGAAGAAATCATAATTATGAGTTTATAAATATATTTGAGAATATGTGGCGAATATTTTTAAATTATAATTATTTAATAAATAAATTAAAATTAATTTTGAGATATAAATTGAAGTATAATATGTTTTATGAATTAATTAAATTTTCTTAATTTATAAATAATTCATAGTATTTATAATGCAAGTATGAAATTCTTTTATTAAATTTTTTGTAAATTATAGGAATTCAAATGCCATAACTATAAGATAAATCCAATACAAAATAATATAGTTAAATGAGATTTTTAGGATAGCATGCATTGTTCATATTTTACCTCATAATACTTTTTATTATCATAATACACTACCAAAAAATTAGCCTTTCACAGCACATTTTTCGACTTTTCCCGGCGGTTTTACCCGCCACTATGTTTCTTTGCAGCGGTTTTACAACCGCTGGATGTCCGCCGTGATTTCAATGCGCTGCAAAGATATTCCGCAGCGGTTTCAGGACCGGCGGGGTAGAACAGTGAATGCGGATAATACCAGCGGTTCAAACCGCGACAATATTCCAGTTTTGAAGCGGTTATAACCGCAACGAATGTTTGAAAAATAAATGCTTACAGTAATGTGGCGGGTTTAACCGCCACGTTTCTGTTAACTTTGTAGCGGGTAAATCCGCCGCAAAGTTACAGAATTTTTTTGTTGTAGCGGTTAAAACCGCCGCAAAGTTCTAGAATTTTTTTTTCTTAAAACCCGTAATTTACTTCCATCAAAAGATACAGTTTACAAATGCTGAAACAGAATAATCATCCACACAAGAGTAGCAATTGTCCAGTCAAGTTATTAATTCACCAAGCCATCTATTGCAATCAACATAGTTGGAGTCAACTTAGGCTATAAACACCTAAGGGCATAAGCTAACTTAATGTACAAAATGAAAACAAATATATAACAATAAAGGATTTAATGCCACAGAAAACTGCACATTTTTTAGGAAATTTTGATGGGTGATCAATCCAAGGAAATGACCTTTCAACATACTCGCAGAACTCTGCGAATGCTAGGACTACCAAAAAATCAGATCTTTACAAACAAAAAATTGTATAACAACTAGAAATATCTTCATGAAATCACTTACATTCGTAGCATCAGATGAAAGATGAAACACAAAAATATTCACAATCCATATATAAGTCACTAAAGTCTCCAGCTGACTTGCTTTAGGAAGAGTGGAAATCCAAAGTTCAAACATTACAGACTGCAAAAGAAAAACTTGCAAAAAAAGACATGATAATAACCATAACCTTTATGTCAGCTAGAAATGTTAAGACAAGCAGAACAAGATAACATGGAGGTAATGAAATCCCATTTAAGCTTGCAGAAGACTATCATGCATTGGATGAATCGTCATTGCCACCCTGAAAATAAAATGAAATTAATGAGATATTAATAATCAAGAAATATACAATTAACATTAAATTATTATTTTTTTCATACCATTTCAGATCCTCCATGTGGTGGTTGATTCATTTGAAACTGTTGCACAATTTGTCGCATCTCATCACGAAATGTAGTGAACTCCTCTCGTAGACTTGCTATTTGATCGAACACTTTCATTATCTTCTTTACTTCATATGTATTCTTAGGT